CGCATTCATGCCATTACACATGCTCAAAAATGTTCAAACTCGCCAAAACAAACACTTTTCATAACAACAAGCCAAACTCATCAAAAGAACACTAAAACAACAGCTAAACGCATTCATGCCATTACACATGCTCAAAAATGTTCAAACTCGCCAAAACAAACACTTTTCATAACAACAAGCCAAACTCATCAAAAGAACACTAAAACAACAGCTTAACACAAGGGATTACTAATTCAACACATTCATGCCATTACACATGCTCAAAAACCTTCAAACTGGCCAAAACGAACAATGTTCATAACAACAAGCCAAACTCATCAAAAGAACACTAAAACAACAGCTTAACGCATTCATGCCATTACACATGCTCAAAAACCTTCAAACTGGCCAAAAAGAACAATGTTCATAACAACAAGCCAAACTCATCAAAAGAACACTAAAACAACAGCTTAACGCATTCATGCCATTACACATGCTCAAAAACCTTCAAACTGGCCAAAACGAACAATGTTCATAACAACAAGCCAAACTCATCAAAAGAACACTAAAACAACAGCTTAACGCATTCATGCCATTACACATGCTCAAAAACCTTCAAACTCGCCAAAACAAACACTTTTCATAACAACAAGCCAAACTCATCAAAAGAACACTAAAACAACGGCTTAACACAAGGGATTACTAATTCAACACATTCATGCCATTACACATGCTAAAAAACGTTCTAACGGGCCAAAACGAACAATGTTCATAACAACAAGCCAAACTCATCAAAAGAACACTAAAACAACAGCTTAACGCATTCATGCCATTACACATGCTCAAAAACGTTCAAACTCGCCAAAACAAACACTTTTCATAACAACAAGCCAAACTCATCAAAAGAACACTAAAACAACAGCTTAACACAAGGGATTACTAATTCAACACATTCATGCCATTACACATGCTCAAAAACGTTCAAACTCGCCAAAACAAACACTTTTCATAACAACAAGCCAAACTCATCAAAAGAACACTAAAACAACAGCTTAACGCATTCATGCCATTACACATGCTCAAAAATGTTCAAACTCGCCAAAACAAACACTTTTCATAACAACAAGCCAAACTCATCAAAAGAACACTAAAACAACAGCTAAACGCATTCATGCCATTACACATGCTCAAAAATGTTCAAACTCGCCAAAACAAACACTTTTCATAACAACAAGCCAAACTCATCAAAAGAACACTAAAACAACAGCTTAACACAAGGGATTACTAATTCAACACATTCATGCCATTACACATGCTCAAAAACCTTCAAACTGGCCAAAACGAACAATGTTCATAACAACAAGCCAAACTCATCAAAAGAACACTAAAACAACAGCTTAACGCATTCATGCCATTACACATGCTCAAAAACCTTCAAACTGGCCAAAAAGAACAATGTTCATAACAACAAGCCAAACTCATCAAAAGAACACTAAAACAACAGCTTAACGCATTCATGCCATTACACATGCTCAAAAACCTTCAAACTGGCCAAAACGAACAATGTTCATAACAACAAGCCAAACTCATCAAAAGAACACTAAAACAACAGCTTAACGCATTCATGCCATTACACATGCTCAAAAACCTTCAAACTCGCCAAAACAAACACTTTTCATAACAACAAGCCAAACTCATCAAAAGAACACTAAAACAACGGCTTAACACAAGGGATTACTAATTCAACACATTCATGCCATTACACATGCTAAAAAACGTTCTAACGGGCCAAAACGAACAATGTTCATAACAACAAGCCAAACTCATCAAAAGAACACTAAAACAACAGCTTAACGCATTCATGCCATTACACATGCTCAAAAACGTTCAAACTCGCCAAAACAAACACTTTTCATAACAACAAGCCAAACTCATCAAAAGAACACTAAAACAACAGCTTAACGCATTCATGCCATTACACATGCTCAAAAACGTTCAAACTCGCCAAAACAAACACTTTTCATAACAACAAGCCAAACTCATCAAAAGAACACTAAAACAACAGCTTAACACAAGGGATTACTAATTCAACACATTCATGCCATTACACATGCTCAAAAACCTTCAAACTCGAATGCAGTTGATATTTTTATCTGTTGAACTGGTTATCCCTTGTGTTTTGCGGTTGTTAAAGTGTTGTTTTGATGTGTTGGCCTGCTTTTATGTTAATTGTTTTGGCGAGTTTTAATGTTTGTGAGCATGTGTTATGGCTGGAAATCTGTTGAGTTGGTGTTAAGCTGTTGTTTATGTGTGCTTTTAAAGAGTTTGGCTTGTTGTTATGATCATTGTTTGTTTTAGCGCGTTTGAAGGTTTGTGAGCATGTGTAATGGCATGTATGAGTTGAATTAGTTAACCCTTGTGTTAAGCTGTTGTTTTAGTGTTCTTTTGATGAGTTTGGCTTGTTGTTATCAACATTGTTTATTTTGGCGATTTTGAAGGTTTTTGAGCATTTTTTTTATGCTTAATGTGACCTACTCTTTTAAAACATGAATTCAAAATTTTCACCAGGTCAACAATAAAGCCAGGACAAATTCTGTCCCTTTAGTGCCTCTCAGTGGCCAAAAAAGCCACTACTTAATCAGACAAACATAAAAAAAACTTCATCAGAAACTGGTGATCTCCTGCAGGTAATCACAGCCTTGATTATGTCAAAGATTAGTAATATCATTGACTTTATTCCCTTTTTTAAGTTTTTCTGTAGCATCAGGTTTGATAAAAAACTCCCTTTGGCACCCCTCAGTGGACAAAACTACTTTGTCGGCTGTAAAATATATTGGATTAATATTTTTTTCAGATTTTTTCATACATCTCTTATTTTACTTCTGCCCTGTTCAAAACTAGCAAATGTTTCATTGAAAATAAAAATTTTAACCCTATAAGGGCCCATTTGAGACATAAAGTCACTTATAAAGCAAAAAAAAAAAAAAGGAAGGAAAAGGACCTATTCTTTTTTATAAAACATAATCCAAAGCTGGTGATTTTTTACATGGTGCATAGTCTTGGGCATGTGGAGGATTAGAAACATCAGAATGTTTGGTACATTTTTGTGTAACAGATTTTCATAAAAACTGCATTAATGAAGTGATTCTATAAGTGCATTCCCTATACTAACATCAGAGCATTCTCTTTCACTGACTGCAGGTGGAAGTCATGTGCGAGACAAAATTCAGTGTGTGTTTGTGTGCACGTGCGTGCATATGCGTGGACGTGCGTGCATGTGTGTCCATGTATGTGTGCGTGTATGTGTGTGTGTGTAACAAACAATATGAGATTGGAACACAACCATATTTTATTTATCAAAATACATCAACAAAAGTAGAAAGTGGTGTGTGTGTGAGAGTGAACATGTGTAACCTTCCAGGTTAGGTAAGCAAGGTTGAAAAGAGAGACACCCAGAGATGGGTTTCTACGACCCATTCTTTCCAACTCCTCCCAGTCGTTGTCTGTCCCCTTCTCCAGTAAGATAAATATCTGCTCCTCACACTAGCAATTTTAGAACTGAAGAAGCTTCTTGGATAAGAGGCAAAATGCCTTCTCAACTCTACACAGTCCAGTTGCCTGTTTTTAAGTCTAAATTTTGCCCCAAGTGGCTTTTTTAAGCCACACCGTTACATAAGGGATAAACTTCAAAAAATGCACGATTATCAGAGATAAAAAATAAACGTTATTGCCTTGATACTTACACATCTTTACCAATATCATCTACACTGATTTAAATTATAGGATTTTCAGTAACCAGCTACATCACCTATGATAGACCATTCATGCAAATGAATTCAGTTAGTTGAAACACTCACGCTAAAGGTTAAATGTAGGGTGTGTGACTTGATTCCGAGCAGTGTACAGCGAACCTGGGTCATGGAAAGCAAAAAAGAGAAAAGGGACTAGGTTTCATTTTCTGAAATAAGTGACAAAAGGTATTAAACTTTTTCATGCTATTCTAAATGTAAATGACCCAAATTATGTGTTTGTATCAGCAGTCTTATTTTGAAGTTAAAATCCCTATCTGCTATTATTTTATTTCCTGTGAGCAATATAACAGAGACCGATCCCCTTATTTTGAAAGAATTTTCACCGGAAGTTAGAAGTCAATGAACAGTAAAAGATATGAAAAGTCAGGATCACAATCGTCAATAAGGATCTCTTAAGTTGTTTAAAGTACCTGGTTGATAGAGGCACAAGATTCGAATATGCTTCTTTTCTCACACAAATTAATATGAAGTGCCTTTTTAAGAGTTTTTATGAAATTTGATCGAGTTTCGTGTTGCCGAGTACTAGTAAAGATGCTACAGTTACGATGATGGTTACGGTTAACACAGATGTTATTCATGGAGTTCATAGCATGTAGCCCTATGCATATTTTAATTCGACATGTATTATATTTATCATAAAGCTCTATTGCTGCATTAAAATGATACCTAAAAATGTATTAGATGTTATTTGGTTTATAAAACAGGCGATTACATGTGTTACTTTAAGTTGAACCCAAGTAGTTAAAGCACTCTGAATTGAGATTGTCAATTACCTAAAAACAAGAAAGTTAATTTCATTGTTCTTGAAGGTGTATAAAATATATAATTTAAAGTAATTAAACGATTTTCTGTTACAGAAAGTGTATTAATATTGTTCCTATTGTTTTTTTCGCTAGCTCTTACGGTGTGTTCACACTCTTTAATGGAAGTTCAAAGATAGAAGTTTAAAGGAACCATTTTAAAAATAAAACTTTGTGAAACATCAGTTGGAGAGTCAGACCATAAATCAACCAGGATGCTACAGTAAATTTAAAGATATGTATATATAAATACACAGTCAAGATATGCCACATCCCAATTGATCTAACAATCTGATCCTATTCTGAGTTATTTTTACATTTACTAGTTTTGGATAACTAAAATTTTTTTTTCTATTAAGAAAAACATTATAAAAACAAGCTGATGATCTGACAATTAAATGAAAAAATATCACACACACACCCTTTTCAAACTGACCAGTCTGTTCAAGCTTTCAGGACCGAATGTGCTCTGCCTCTCCGTTTGCATCTTTTCAGCCTGTGCCTTCTCAAATCCCTGTTCACAGACATTGTGATGATCTCTTAGCTTGTCCAGATGACGAAGCAGACACCACTGGGCCTGCAAACAACAGAAAATATAGTTTTAACTACAATGGTGAACCAAATTGAACATCTATTCCCCTTTTTCTTTTATTAGACAAGACAACAAAGGAAAGCTGGGCTGCTGTGACAAAAATATCCTGTATGTGCTGAGACACCAAGGCCTATTAAATGTAGAACTACCTCAATGATTTAAAGATCAAGGTTTTAAGACCAAGGATATGCATAGTTGATCTTGTATGTATTTGTACACATTTTATGCTACATTGTAGTGTACCTCTTGATTTCCAGAGCCCAAAGATGTCTTCATGACCTTGGGCTTTGCTAGTTCACAGCCGGTTTTCACCTCAGCACCTGAGAATAAATATAAAAGGTCAATCATGGATATGACTGATTAATTACAAACTCAATTACACAGATACAATCAATTTAAAAATTGATCTCAGACATGTTGATTAATAAAAAAACATTGGCCAACAATATTATATTTTGTTTGACAGCATACATAACCCTTGTGTAATCGTTAGATTTAGATCAGTTGGTAATGCTCAGTGGCTAAAAAAGCCACTGACATTGACTGCTGTAAAAACATATTGGATTCATATTTTTTCTAGATTTTTTTCACACATCTCTTAATTAACTTCTGCTGTATTCAAAACTAGTAAATGTGTCATTAAAAATCAAAATTTAACCCTTTAAGGGCCGATTTAAAACATACAGTCACTAATATTAGGGAAAAATAAAAAAAAGGTTACCTATGTTAACATTAGAACCAAACCGTATTTTATCGCTCAAAATGCAATTAAACAAAAGCCACAAATACACAACAACAGAGTATCAAACCAGAACAAACGACTAACTTTTGAGGGTAAAGCAGTGGAGAGGACTGAAAGAAACCTGGGGAGCCTAAGAGAGCGAATGTGTGAGAAATTGAGTGAGCAAAGAGAGATAAAAGAGATAAGAGATATATGAAAAAAATGGAGAAAAAAAATATTAACCCAACATGTTTTTACAGCACTCAAAGTTAGTGGCTTTTTTTAACCACTGAGCGTAAACAAAGGATAGAAAATTTGCCCAACCCGTATTTTTGACCTGGTGAAAATTTTGAAGTCATATTTTCAAAGTGTCCATCAATATAGGCATCTGCACAAAAAAATCATCCCATTTGCTGCAGTAAAAAAAAAGTTACATGGAAATTACTGGCTAAATTTTCCCCCAAGTGGCTTTTTTAGCCACACAGTTACATAAGGGATACACTTTAAAAAATGCACGATCATCAGAGATAAAAAACTAAATGTTATTGCCTTGATACTTACTCATCTTTATCAATATCATCTACACTGATTTAAATTATAGGATTATCAGTAACCAGCTACATCACCTATGATGGACCATTCATGCAAATGAATTCAGTTAGTTGAATCACTCACGCTAAAGGTTAAATTTAGGGTGTGTGATTTGATTCTGAGCAGTGTACAGCGAACCTTTTTTACATTTGACTCCAGAGGTGGAAGAAGTGGCACTTATTATCTGACACTGATTATCATCCTGTCAACACAAGGAACACAATCAGTCTTACATCCATGTTCCTGTGTTCTAGGGCCAACCAAGATAGCACTTTACAATCACAACCATGTTGTCTGCATGCGCACTGGTCTAACTGCAAAATGACTGATGTCAATCATGTGATCTAAAGCAGCAACTAATGCTCCAGACTACTACCCCTGTCACAGGTACACCACTGTGACCCCCCAAACAGATGAACAGTTAGATAGAACAGATCTTCAATAGGTTTGTCTCAATCATCATAATCCTCATCATTTGACTTTAATCCCACTTTCAGGTCTTAACAGTGTCAGGCAACAATTAAGATTCAACAGGGTCTTGGACCTGGTTTAAGGTGACCATATTCTGACTCTCCAAAAAGAGGACATTACTAGTCGCGTTTTACGGGTCGAGTGTTTCTTTACGCCCCTTTAAATCAGTTAGTCCGCGGTGTACAAACTCGAAATTTCCATACAAAACCCCAGAGATTTTTTATCAACTCCCCCGACAGGCCGATGGTCATAAATAAATAAAAGTCTGACGGTGGACTCACAGATTCTTTTACTATAAAATCAGGATGAATTACTCTCACTGAGGAGCTGCGGAGCTCTCTCTCTCTCTCTCTCTCTGCGTTAGCTTAATAATCTCTAACATTAGCTTTAGCTCACTTCACATCCTTGTGACATCCTTAAAGCGGAAACCGTCCATTGATCGCACTTGGCCGCGGAATCAGTTAAAAATCTGCTGCCATGACACAAAATTAGATTTTTTAGGAAAGAATAGTGACTCAAAACTTACCGTCTTTCCTCTAGCTTGCTCCAACGAGCTCCACGTGTGCGCCATCATGGCTCCGAGTCAAGCACTGTAGGTCAAGTGCAGAGGGAGCGCTTGTTTAATTAAACAGCGCACACCGCAGAATTCACGCAGCAGTATTTAGATCACAGCAGAAAAGAACGGGCCATCCATGTATCAAAATCAAGCTGTGTACAGAACATTAGCCCATACATACGTCACAAAGAAACTGTCACAGAGCCACTCCCTCTGCACTTGATCTACAGTGCTTGACTGGGAGCCATGATGGCGCACACGTGGAGCTCGTTGGAGCAAGCTAGAGGAAAGACGGTAAGTTTTGAGTCACTATTCTTTCCTAAAAAATCTAATTTTGTGTCATGGCAGCAGATTTTTAACTGATTCCGCGGCCAAGTGCGATCAATGGACGGTTTCCGCTTTAAGGATGTCACAAGGATGTGAAGTGAGCTAAAGCTAATGTTAGAGATTATTAAGCTAACGCAGAGAGAGAGAGAGAGAGAGAGAGAGAGCTCCTCAGTGAGAGTAATTCATCCTGATTTTATAGTAAAAGAATCTGTGAGTCCACCGTCAGACTTTTATTTATTTATGACCATCGGCCTGTCGGGGGAGTTGATAAAAAATCTCTGGGGTTTTGTATGGAAATTTCGAGTTTGTACACCGCGGACTAACTGATTTAAAGGGGCGTAAAGAAACACTCGACCCGTAAAACGCGACTAGTAATGTCCTCTTTTTGGAGAGTCAGAATATGGTCACCTTAAACCAGGTCCAAGACCCTGTTGAATCTTAATTGTTGCCTGACACTGTTAAGACCTGAAAGTGGGATTAAAGTCAAATGATGAGGATTATGATGATTGAGACAAACCTATTGAAGATCTGTTCTATCTAACTGTTCATCTGTTTGGGGGGTCACAGTGGTGTACCTGTGACAGGGGTAGTAGTCTGGAGCATTAGTTGCTGCTTTAGATCACATGATTGACATCAGTCATTTTGCAGTTAGACCAGTGCGCATGCAGACAACATGGTTGTGATTGTAAAGTGCTATCTTGGTTGGCCCTAGAACACAGGAACATGGATGTAAGACTGATTGTGTTCCTTGTGTTGACAGGATGATAATCAGTGTCAGATAATTTAAATCAGTGTAGATGATTGGTTGGATAAATAAATAACCTTTAGCGTGAGTGATTCAACTAACTGAATTCATTTGCATGAATGGTCCATCATAGGTGATGTAGCTGGTTACTGATAATCCTATAATTTAAATCAGTGTAGATGATATTGATAAAGTGTATCCCTTATGTAACTGTGTGGCTAAAAAAAATCCACTTGGGGCAAAATTTAGCCAGTAATTTCCATGTAACTTTTTTTATACTGCAGCAAATGGGATGATTTTTTGGGCGGATGCCTATAATGATGGACACTTTGAAAATATGACTTCAAAATTTTCACCAGGTCAAAAATACAGGCTGGGCAAATTTTCTATTCTTTGTTTACGCTCAGTGGCTAAAAAAAGCCACTTACTTTGACTGCTGTAAAACATATTGGGTTAATATTCTTTTCTCCATTTTTTTCATATATCTCTTCAAGTAACTTCTGCTTTGATCAAAACTAGTAAATGTTTCATCTAAAAATATTTTTTTTAACCCTTTGAGGGTCCATTCAAAGCATAATGTCACTGATATGGTAGAAAAATACACAAAAATGACCTATTTTCATCATAAAACATATTCAGAAACAGGTGATTTTTTACATGTTGCATAGTCTTGGCCTTGTGAAGGATTAGGAACCTCAGAAACTATGATACATTTTGTGTAATGTCTAATTTTCATAGAAACTTTCACAAAACACTCATAAAAACACTTGCACTATTCATGTCTTTTCCATACTCGCATTCTCTTTCGGTACCAGCTTGGTCGTAATGTGCTGAGCCAGAACTCAGCTGTGTGTGTGTGTGTGTGTGTGTGTGTGTGTGTGTGTGTGTGTGTGTGTGTGTGTGTGTGTTCAGTGTTTGAAGCAAGACCTGCAGGACATCACTCTGTGTTCATGCCAGATGTGTTTCACACATAACTCACAGGTTTTGTTAGTTCTTTTTGACACCAAAACCGTTCCCAGGTCCTCCACGAAAAGCCTCCTCCTGAATCACTTTCTCCGGTTCCAGGAGAGATCCACATCTCACAGCGAGGCAGTAGATTCACCCCTCGAACAAAACAGGCCAGACAATGAAGATGGATCCTGTGGGGGGTCAGATTCCATCTCATCAGAATCAATGACAATTGCAAGGGCCTCCGTGGTGCTGAAGCTTCTCTTCATGCTTTCTCTTGCTCTTCTCATGAAAAAATGGTCATTAGAATCTGCAAGTTGTGGATTGCAGGACAGCTCACTTTTGTTTTTGTTTATTTTTTTCCCCCTCTCTGTACTTCTGAGAGCTGAAGAACATAGTTAACTTTTGTGGCGGGGTCAGTGCTGGGTCATGACTTGCAGGCTCCTCCCCTCTCTCTCTCACATGCACACACTCACATGCACGCATGCACACACGCACGCAAACACACATTTTTTGGGGCTTCCGATTTTGTCTGGCCTGTTTGGAAACACATCTGGCATGACCACAGAGAGATCTCCTGCCGGTCTTGCTTCAAACATTGAACACACAAACACACACACACACTCACTCACTCACTCACTCACTCACTCACTCACTCACTCACTCACTCAAACACACTTTTACATTTTATCTCTCTTTGCTCACTCAATTTCTCACACATTCGCTCTCTTAGGCTCCCCAGGTTTCTTTCAGTCCTCTCCACCGCTTCACCCTCAAAAGTTAGTCGTTTGTTCTGGTTTGATACTCTGTTGTTGTGTATTTATGGCTTTTGTTTTATTGCATTTTGAGCGATAAAATATGGTTTGGTTCTAATGTTAACATTGGTTACATTTTTTCGTTTTTTCCTAATATTAGTGGGTGTATGTTTTAAATTGACCCTTAAAGGGTTAAAATTTTGATTTTTAATGACACATTTACTAGTTTTGAATACAGCAGAAGTTAATTAAGAGATGTGTGAAAAAAATCTAGAAAAAATATGAATCCAATATGTTTTTACAGCGGTTAATATCAGTGATTTTTTTTAGCCACTGAGCATTAACAACTGATCTAAATCTAACGGTTTCACAAGGGTTATGTATGCTGTCAAACAAAATATAATATTGTTAGCTTTTGTTTTTTTATTAATCAACATGTCTGAGATCAATTTTTAAATTGATTGTATCTGTGTAATTGAGTTTGTAATTAATCAGTCATATCCATGATTGACCTTTTATATTTATTCTCAGGTGCTGAGGTGAAAACAGGCTGTGAACTAGCAAAGCCCAAGGTCATGAAGACATCTTTGGGCTCTGGAAATCAAGAGGTACACTACAATTTAGCATAAAATGTGTATAAATACACACAAGATCAACTATGCATATCCTCGGTCTTAAAACCTTGATCTTTAAATTATTGAGGTAGTTCTATATTTAATAGGCCTTGGTGTCTCAGCACATACAGGATATTTATGTCACAGCAGCCCAGCTTTCCTTTGTTGTCTTGTGTAATGAAAGAAAAAGGGGAATAGATGTTCAATTTGGTTCACCATTGTAGTTAAAACTATATTTTCTGTTTTTTGCAGGCCCAGTAGCATCTGCTTCGTCATCTGGACAAGCTAAAAGATCATCACAATGTCTGTGAACGGCGATTTGAGAAGGCACAGGCTGAAAAGATGCAAACGGAGAGGCAGAGCACATTCGGTCCTGAAGGCTTGAACGAACTGGTAAGTTTGAAAAGGGGGTGTGTGATAATTTTTCATTTAATTGTCAGATCATAAGCTTGATTTTATAATGTTTTTCTAAATAGAAAAAAATTTTTTTATCCAAAATTAGTAAATGTAAAAATAACTCAGAATAGGATCCGATTATTAGATCAATCTATATATACATATCTTTAAATTTACTGTAGCATCCTGGTTGATTTATGGTCTGACTTTCCAACTGATGTTTCACAAAGTTTTATTTTTAAAATGGTTCCTTTAAACTTCCATCTTTGAACTTCCATTAAAGAGTGTGAACACACCGCAAGAGCTAGCGAAAAAAAACAATAGGAACAATATTAATACACTTTCTGTAACAGAAAATCGTTTGATTAAAATTATATATTTTATACACCTTCAAGAACAATGAAATCAACTTTCTTGTGTTAACTGTGTCATCTGTGTTAACTGTAACCATCATCGTAACTGTAGCATCTTTACTAGTACTCAGCAACACGAAACTCGATCAAATTTCATAAAAACTCTTAAAAAGGCACTTCATATTAATTTGTGTGAGAAAAGAAGCATATTCGAATGTTGTGCCTCTATCAACCAGGTACTTTAAACAACTTAAGAGATCCTTATTGACGATTGTGATCCTGACTTTTCATATCTTTTACTGTTCATTGACTTCTAACTTCCGGTGAAAATTCTTTCAAAATAAGGGGATCGGTCTCTGTTATATTACTCACAGGAAATAAAATAATAGAAAATAGGGATTTTAACTTCAAAATAAGACTGCTGATACAAACACATAATGTGGGTCATTTACATTTAGAATAGCATGAAAAAGTTTAATACTTTTTGTCACTTATTTCAGAAAATGAAACCTAGTCCCTCTTCTCTTTTTTGCTTTCCATGACCCAGGTTCGGTGTCCACAGCTCAGAATCAAGTCACACACCCTAAATTTCACCTTTAGTGTGAGTGTTTCAACTAACTGAATTCATTTGCATGAAAGGTCTAACATTGGTGATGTAGCTGGTTACTGAAAATCATATCATTAAAATCAGTGTAGATGATATTGGTAAAGATGAGTAAGTATCAAGGCAATAACGTTTAGTTTTTATCTCTGATGATCGTGCATTTTTTAAAGTTTATCCCTAATGTAACGGTGTGGCTAAAAAAAGCCACTTGGGGCAAGATTTAGACTTAAAAACAGGCAACTGGACTGTGTAGAGTTGAGAAGGCGTTTTGCCTCTTATCCAAGAAGCTTCTTCAGTTCTAAAATTGCTAGTGTGAGGAGCAGATATTTATCTTACTGGAGAAGGGAACAGACAACGACTGGGAGGAGTTGGAAAGAATGGGTCGTAGAAACCCATATCTGGGTGTCTCTCTTTCCAACCTTGCTTACCAACCTTGCTTACCTAACCTTTCAGGTTTGGTAAGCACACACACACATGTTCACACACACACACACACACACACACACACACACACACATTTGACTCCAGAGGTGGAAGAAGTGGCACTTATTATCTGACACTGATTATCATCCTGTCAACACAAGGAACACAATCAGTCTTACATCCATTGATAATATGACTTCAAAATTTTCACCAGGTCAAAAATACGGGCTGGGCAAATTTTCTATTCTTTGTTTACACTCAGTGGCTAAAAAAGCCACTAACTTTGACTGCTGTAAAAAGATATTGGGTTAATATTTTTTTTCAGTTTTTTTCATATATCTCTTAAGTAACTTCTGCTTTGATCAAAACTAGTAAATGTTTCATATAAAAACATTTTTTTAACCCTTTGAGGGTCCATTCAAAGCATAATGTCACTGATATGGTAGACATATACACAAAAATGACCTATTTTCATCATAAAGCATAATCAGAAACAGGTGATTTTTTACATGTTGCATGGTCTTGGCCTTTTGAAGGATTAGAAACCTCAGAAACTATGATACATTTTGTGTAATGTCTAATTTTCATAGAAACTTTCACAAAACACTCATAAAACACTTGCACTATTTATGTCTTTTCTATACTCGCATTCTCTTTCGGTACCAGCTTGGTCGTAATGTGCTGAGCCAGGACTCAGCTCTGTGTGTGTGTGTGTGTGTTCAGTGTTTGAAGCAAGACCTGCAGGACATCACTCTGTGTTCATGCCAGATGTGTTTCACACATAACTCACAGGTTTTGTTAGTTCTTTTTGACACCAAAGCTGTTCCCAGGTCCTCCACGAAAAGCCTCCTCCTGAATCACTTTCTCCGGTTCCAGGAGAGATCCACATCTCACAGCAAGGCAGTAGATTCACCCCTCGAACAAAACAGGGCAGACAATGAAGATGGATCCTGTGGGGGGTCAGATTCCATCCCATCAGAATCAATGACAATTGCAAGGGCCTCCGTGGTGCTGAAGCTTCTCTTCATGCTTTCTCTTGCTCTTCTCATGAAAAAATGGTCATTAGAATCTGCAAGTTGTGGATTGCAGGACAGCTCACTTTTGTTTTTGTTTATTTTTTTCCCCCTCTCTGTACTTCTGAGAGCTGAAGAACATAGTTAACTTTTGTGGCGGGGTCAGTGCTGGGTCATGACCTGCAGGCTCCTCCCCTCTCTCTCTCACATGCACACACTCACATGCACGCATGCACACACGCACGCAAACACACATTTTTTGGGGCTTCCGATTTTGTCTGGCCTGTTTGGAAACACATCTGGCATGACCACAGAGAGATCTCCTGCCGGTCTTGCTTCAAACATTGAACACACAAACACACTCACTCACTCACTGACTCACTCACTCACTCACTCACTCACTCACTCACTCACTCACTCACTCACTCACTCACTCACTCACTCACTCACTCACTCACTCACTCACTCACTCACTCACTCACTCACTCACTCACTCACTCACTCACTCACTCACTCACTCACTCAAACACACTTTTACATTTTATCTCTCTTTGCTCACTCAATTTCTCACACATTCGCTCTCTTAGGCTCCCCAGGTTTCTTTCAGTCCTCTCCACCGCTTCACCCTCAAAAGTTAGTCGTTTGTTCTGGTTTGATACTCTGTTGTTGTGTATTTATGGCTTTTGTTTTATTGCATTTTGAGCGATAAAATATGGTTTGGTTCTAATGTTAACATTGGTTACATTTTTTCGTTTTTTCCTAATATTAGTGGGTGTATGTTTTAAATTGACCCTTAAAGGGTTAAAATTTTGATTTTTAATGACACATTTACTAGTTTTGAATACAGCAGAAGTTAATTAAGAGATGTGTGAAAAAAATCTAGAAAAAATATGAATCCAATATGTTTTTACAGCGGTTAATATCAGTGATTTTTTTTAGCCACTGAGCATTAACAACTGATCTAAATCTAACGGTTTCACAAGGGTTATGTATGCTGTCAAACAAAATATAATATTGTTAGCTTTTGTTTTTTTATTAATCAACATGTCTGAGATCAATTTTTAAATTGATTGTATCTGTGTAATTGAGTTTGTAATTAATCAGTCATATCCATGATTGACCTTTTATATTTATTCTCAGGTGCTGAGGTGAAAACAGGCTGTGAACTAGCAAAGCCCAAGGTCATGAAGACATCTTTGGGCTCTGGAAATCAAGAGGTACACTACAATTTAGCATAAAATGTGTATAAATACACACAAGATCAACTATGCATATCCTCGGTCTTAAAACCTTGATCTTTAAATTATTGAGGTAGTTCTATATTTAATAGGCCTTGGTGTCTCAGCAGCACATACAGGATATTTATGTCACAGCAGCCCAGCTTTCCTTTGTTGTCTTGTGTAATGAAAGAAAAAGGGGAATAGATGTTCAATTTGGTTCACCATTGTAGTTAAAACTATATTTTCTGTTTTTTGCAGGCCCAGTAGCATCTGCTTCGTCATCTGGACAAGCTAAAAGATCATCACAATGTCTGTGAACGGCGATTTGAGAAGGCACAGGCTGAAAAGATGCAAACGGAGAGGCAGAGCACATTCGGTCCTGAAGGCTTGAACGAACTGGTAAGTTTGAAAAGGGGGTGTGTGATAATTTTTCATTTAATTGTCAGATCATAAGCTTGATTTTATAATGTTTTTCTAAATAGAAAAAAATTTTTGTTATCCAAAATTAGTAAATGTAAAAATAACTCAGAATAGGATCCGATTATTAGATCAATCTATATATACATATCTTTAAATTTACTGTAGCATCCTGGTTGATTTATGGTCTGACTTTCCAACTGATGTTTCACAAAGTTTTATTTTTAAAATGGTTCCTTTAAACTTCCATCTTTGAACTTCCATTAAAGAGTGTGAACACACCGCAAGAGCTAGCGAAAAAAAACAATAGGAACAATATTAATACACTTTCTGTAACAGAAAATCGTTTGATTAAAATTATATATTTTATACACCTTCAAGAACAATGAAATCAACTTTCTTGTGTTAACTGTGTCATCTGTGTTAACTGTAACCATCATCGTAACTGTAGCATCTTTACTAGTACTCAGCAACACGAAACTCGATCAAATTTCATAAAAACTCTTAAAAAGGCACTTCATATTAATTTGTGTGAGAAAAGAAGCATAATGTTGTGCCTCTATCAACCAGGTACTTTACAACTTAAGAGATCCTTATTGACGATTGTGATCCTGACTTTTCATATCTTTTACTGTTCATTGACTTCTAACTTCCGGTGAAAATTCTTTCAAAATAAGGGGATCGGTCTCTGTTATATTACTCACAGGAAATAAAATAATAGAAAATAGGGATTTTAACTTCAAAATAAGACTGCTGATACAAACACATAATGTGGGTCATTTACATTTAGAATAGCATGAAAAAGTTTAATACTTTTTGTCACTTATTTCAGAAAATGAAACCTAGTCCCTTTTCTCTTTTTTGCTTTCCATGACCCAGGTTCGCTCTACACTGCTCAGAATCAAGTCACACACCCTAAATTTCACCTTTAGTGTGAGTGTTTCAACTAACTGAATTCATTTGCATGAAAGGTCTAACATTGGTGATGTAGCTGGTTACTGAAAATCATATCATTAAAATCAGTGTAGATGATATTGGTAAAGATGAGTAAGTATCAAGGCAATAACGTTTAGTTTTTATCTCTGATGATCGTGCATTTTTTAAAGTTTATCCCTAATGTAACGGTGTGGCTAAAAAAAGCCACTTGGGGCAAGATTTAGACTTAAAAACAGGCAACTGGACTGTGTAGAGTTGAGAAGGCGTTTTGCCTCTTATCCAAGAAGCTTCTTCAGTTCTAAAATTGCTAGTGTGAGGAGCAGATATTTATCTTACTGGAGAAGGGAACAGACAACGACTGGGAGGAGTTGGAAAGAATGGGTCGTAGAAACCCATATCTGGGTGTCTCTCTTTCCAACCTTGCTTACCAACCTTGCTTACCTAACCTTTCAGGTTTGGTAAGCACACACACACATGTTCACACACACACACACACACACACACATTTGACTCCAGAGGTGGAAGAAGTGGCACTTATTATCTGACACTGATTATCATCCTGTCAACACAAGGAACACAATCAGTCTTACATCCATTGATAATATGACTTCAAAATTTTCACCAGGTCAAAAATACGGGCTGGGCAAATTTTCTATTCTTTGTTTACACTCAGTGGCTAAAAAAGCCACTAACTTTGACTGCTGTAAAAAGATATTGGGTTAATATTTTTTTTCAGTTTTTTTCATATATCTCTTAAGTAACTTCTGCTTTGATCAAAACTAGTAAATGTTTCATATAAAAACATTTTTTTAACCCTTTGAGGGTCCATTCAAAGCATAATGTCACTGATATGGTAGACATATACACAAAAATGACCTATTTTCATCATAAAGCATAATCAGAAACAGGTGATTTTTTACATGTTGCATGGTCTTGGCCTTTTGAAGGATTAGAAACCTCAGAAACTATGATACATTTTGTGTAATGTCTAATTTTCATAGAAACTTTCACAAAACACTCATAAAACACTTGCACTATTTATGTCTTTTCTATACTCGCATTCTCTTTCGGTACCAGCTTGGTCGTAATGTGCTGAGCCAGGACTCAGCTCTGTGTGTGTGTGTGTGTGTTCAGTGTTTGAAGCAAGACCTGCAGGACATCACTCTGTGTTCATGCCAGATGTGTTTCACACATAACTCACAGGTTTTGTTAGTTCTTTTTGACACCAAAGCTGTTCCCAGGTCCTCCACGAAAAGCCTCCTCCTGAATCACTTTCTCCGGTTCCAGGAGAGATCCACATCTCACAGCAAGGCAGTAGATTCACCCCTCGAACAAAACAGGGCAGACAATGAAGATGGATCCTGTGGGGGGTCAGATTCCATCCCATCAGAATCAATGACAATTGCAAGGGCCTCCGTGGTGCTGAAGCTTCTCTTCATGCTTTCTCTTGCTCTTCTCATGAAAAAATGGTCATTAGAATCTGCAAGTTGTGGATTGCAGGACAGCTCACTTTTGTTTTTGTTTATTTTTTCCCCCTCTCTGTACTTCTGAGAGCTGAAGAACATAGTTAACTTTTGTGGCGGGGTCAGTGCTGGGTCATGACCTGCAGGCTCCTCCCCTCTCTCTCTCACATGCACACACTCACATGCACGCATGCACACACGCACGCAAACACACATTTTTTGGGGCTTCCGATTTTGTCTGGCCTGTTTGGAAACACATCTGGCATGACCACAGAGAGATCTCCTGCCGGTCTTGCTTCAAACATTGAACACACAAACACACTCACTCACTCACTGACTCACTGACTCACTCACTGACTCACTCACTCACTCACTCACTCACTCACTCACTCACTCACTCACTCACTCACTCACTCACTCACTCACTCACTCACTCACTCACTCACTCACTCACTCACTCACTCACTCAAACACACTTTTACATTTTATCTCTCTTTGCTCACTCAATTTCTCACACATTCGCTCTCTTAGGCTCCCCAGGTTTCTTTCAGTCCTCTCCACCGCTTCACCCTCAAAAGTTAGTCGTTTGTTCTGGTTTGATACTCTGTTGTTGTGTATTTATGGCTTTTGTTTTATTGCATTTTGAGCGATAAAATATGGTTTGGTTCTAATGTTAACATTGGTTACATTTTTTCGTTTTTTCCTAATATTAGTGGGTGTATGTTTTAAATTGACCCTTAAAGGGTTAAAATTTAGATTTTTAATGACACATTTACTAGTTTTGAATACAGCAGAAGTTAATTAAGAGATGTGTGAAAAAAATCTAGAAAAAATATGAATCCAATATGTTTTTACAGCGGTTAATATCAGTGATTTTTTTTAGCCACTGAGCATTAACAACTGATCTAAATCTAACGGTTTCACAAGGGTTATGTATGCTGTCAAACAAAATATAATATTGTTAGCTTTTGTTTTTTTATTAATCAACATGTCTGAGATCAATTTTTAAATTGATTGTATCTGTGTAATTGAGTTTGTAATTAATCAGTCATATCCATGATTGACCTTTTATATTTATTCTCAGGTGCTGAGGTGAAAACAGGCTGTGAACTAGCAAAGCCCAAGGTCATGAAGACATCTTTGGGCTCTGGAAATCAAGAGGTACACTACAATTTAGCATAAAATGTGTATAAATACACACAAGATCAACTATGCATATCCTCGGTCTTAAAACCTTGATCTTTAAATTATTGAGGTAGTTCTATATTTAATAGGCCTTGGTGTCTCAGCACATACAGGATATTTATGTCACAGCAGCCCAGCTTTCCTTTGTTGTCTTGTGTAATGAAAGAAAAAGGGGAATAGATGTTCAATTTGGTTCACCATTGTAGTTAAAACTATATTTTCTGTTTTTTGCAGGCCCAGTAGCATCTGCTTCGTCATCTGGACAAGCTAAAAGATCATCACAATGTCTGTGAACGGCGATTTGAGAAGGCACAGGCTGAAAAGATGCAAACGGAGAGGCAGAGCACATTCGGTCCTGAAGGCTTGAACGAACTGGTAAGTTTGAAAAGGGGGTGTGTGATAATTTTTCATTTAATTGTCAGATCATAAGCTTGATTTTATAATGTTTTTCTAAATAGAAAAAAATGTTTTAGTTTTCCAAAATTAGTAAATATATACATATCTTTAAATTTACTGTAGCATCCTGGTTGATTTATGGTCTGACTCTCCAACTGATGTTTCACAAAGTTTTATTTTTAAAATGGTTCCTTTAAACTTCCATCTTTGAACTTCCATTAAAGAGTGTGAACACACCGCAAGAGCTAGCGAAAAAAAACAATAGGAACAATATTAATACACTTTCTGTAACAGAAAATCGTTTGATTAAAATTATATATTTTATACACCTTCAAGAACAATGAAATCAACTTTCTTGTGTTAACTGTGTCATCTGTGTTAACTGTAACCATCATCGTAACTGTAGCATCTTTACTAGTACTCAGCAACACGAAACTCGATCAAATTTCATAAAAACTCTTAAAAAGGCACTTCATATTAATTTGTGTGAGAAAAGAAGCATATTCGAATGTTGTGCCTCTATCAACCAGGTACTTTAAACAACTTAAGAGATCCTTATTGACGATTGTGATCCTGACTTTTCATATCTTTTACTGTTCATTGACTTCTAACTTCCGGTGAAAATTCTTTCAAAATAAGGGGAATGGTCTCTGTTATATTACTCACAGGAAATAAAATAATAGAAAATAGGGATTTTAACTTCAAAATAAGACTGCTGATACAAACACATAATGTGGGTCATTTACATTTAGAATAGCATGAAAAAGTTTAATACTTTTTGTCACTTATTTCAGAAAATGAAACCTAGTCCCTTTTCTCTTTTTTGCTTTCCATGACCCAGGTTCGCTCTACACTGCTCAGAATCAAGTCACACACCCTAAATTTCACCTTTAGTGTGAGTGTTTCAACTAACTGAATTCATTTGCATGAAAGGTCTAACATTGGTGATGTAGCTGGTTACTGAAAATCATATCATTAAAATCAGTGTAGATGATATTGGTAAAGATGAGTAAGTATCAAGGCAATAACGTTTAGTTTTTATCTCTGATGATCGTGCATTTTTTAAAGTTTATCCCTAATGTAACGGTGTGGCTAAAAAAAGCCACTTGGGGCAAGATTTAGACTTAAAAACAGGCAACTGGACTGTGTAGAGTTGAGAAGGCGTTTTGCCTCTTATCCAAGAAGCTTCTTCAGTTCTAAAATTGCTAGTGTGAGGAGCAGATATTTATCTTACTGGAGAAGGGAACAGACAACGACTGGGAGGAGTTGGAAAGAATGGGTCGTAGAAACCCATATCTGGGTGTCTCTCTTTCCAACCTTGCTTACCAACCTTGCTTACCTAACCTTTCAGGTTTGGTAAGCACACACACACATGTTCACACACACACACACACACACACACATTGACTCCAGAGGTGGAAGAAGTGGCACTTATTATCTGACACTGATTATCATCCTGTCAACACAAGGAACACAATCAGTCTTACATCCATTGATAATATGACTTCAAAATTTTCACCAGGTCAAAAATACGGGCTGGGCAAATTTTCTATTCTTTGTTTACACTCAGTGGCTAAAAAAGCCACTAACTTTGACTGCTGTAAAAAGATATTGGGTTAATATTTTTTTTCAGTTTTTTTCATATATCTCTTAAGTAACTTCTGCTTTGATCAAAACTAGTAAATGTTTCATATAAAAACATTTTTTTAACCCTTTGAGGGTCCATTCAAAGCATAATGTCACTGATATGGTAGACATATACACAAAAATGACCTATTTTCATCATAAAGCATAATCAGAAACAGGTGATTTTTTACATGTTGCATGGTCTTGGCCTTTTGAAGGATTAGAAACCTCAGAAACTATGATACATTTTGTGTAATGTCTAATTTTCATAGAAACTTTCACAAAACACTCATAAAACACTTGCACTATTTATGTCTTTTCTATACTCGCATTCTCTTTCGGTACCAGCTTGGTCGTAATGTGCTGAGCCAGGACTCAGCTCTGTGTGTGTGTGTGTGTGTTCAGTGTTTGAAGCAAGACCTGCAGGACATCACTCTGTGTTCATGCCAGATGTGTTTCACACATAACTCACAGGTTTTGTTAGTTCTTTTTGACACCAAAGCTGTTCCCAGGTCCTCCACGAAAAGCCTCCTCCTGAATCACTTTCTCCGGTTCCAGGAGAGATCCACATCTCACAGCAAGGCAGTAGATTCACCCCTCGAACAAAACAGGGCAGACAATGAAGATGGATCCTGTGGGGGGTCAGATTCCATCCCATCAGAATCAATGACAATTGCAAGGGCCTCCGTGGTGCTGAAGCTTCTCTTCATGCTTTCTCTTGCTCTTCTCATGAAAAAATGGTCATTAGAATCTGCAAGTTGTGGATTGCAGGACAGCTCACTTTTGTTTTTGTTTATTTTTTCCCCCTCTCTGTACTTCTGAGAGCTGAAGAACATAGTTAACTTTTGTGGCGGGGTCAGTGCTGGGTCATGACCTGCAGGCTCCTCCCCTCTCTCTCTCACATGCACACACTCACATGCACGCATGCACACACGCACGCAAACACACATTTTTTGGGGCTTCCGATTTTGTCTGGCCTGTTTGGAAACACATCTGGCATGACCACAGAGAGATCTCCTGCCGGTCTTGCTTCAAACATTGAACACACAAACACACACACTCACTCACTCACTCACTCACTCACTCACTCACTCACTCACTCACTCACTCACTCACTCACTCACTCACTCACTCACTCACTCACTCACTCACTCAAACACACTTTTACATTTTATCTCTCTTTGCTCACTCAATTTCTCACACATTCGCTCTCTTAGGCTCCCCAGGTTTCTTTCAGTCCTCTCCACCGCTTCACCCTCAAAAGTTAGTCGTTTGTTCTGGTTTGATACTCTGTTGTTGTGTATTTATGGCTTTTGTTTTATTGCATTTTGAGCGATAAAATATGGTTTGGTTCTAATGTTAACATTGGTTACATTTTTTCGTTTTTTCCTAATATTAGTGGGTGTATGTTTTAAATTGACCCTTAAAGGGTTAAAATTTTGATTTTTAATGACACATTTACTAGTTTTGAATACAGCAGAAGTTAATTAAGAGATGTGTGAAAAAAATCTAGAAAAAATATGAATCCAATATGTTTTTACAGCGGTTAATATCAGTGATTTTTTTTAGCCACTGAGCATTAACAACTGATCTAAATCTAACGGTTTCACAAGGGTTATGTATGCTGTCAAACAAAATATAATATTGTTAGCTTTTGTTTTTTTATTAATCAACATGTCTGAGATCAATTTTTAAATTGATTGTATCTGTGTAATTGAGTTTGTAATTAATCAGTCATATCCATGATTGACCTTTTATATTTATTCTCAGGTGCTGAGGTGAAAACAGGCTGTGAACTAGCAAAGCCCAAGGTCATGAAGACATCTTTGGGCTCTGGAAATCAAGAGGTACACTACAATTTAGCATAAAATGTGTATAAATACACACAAGATCAACTATGCATATCCTCGGTCTTAAAACCTTGATCTTTAAATTATTGAGGTAGTTCTATATTTAATAGGCCTTGGTGTCTCAGCACATACAGGATATTTATGTCACAGCAGCCCAGCTTTCCTTTGTTGTCTTGTGTAATGAAAGAAAAAGGGGAATAGATGTTCAATTTGGTTCACCATTGTAGTTAAAACTATATTTTCTGTTTTTTGCAGGCCCAGTAGCATCTGCTTCGTCATCTGGACAAGCTAAAAGATCATCACAATGTCTGTGAACGGCGATTTGAGAAGGCACAGGCTGAAAAGATGCAAACGGAGAGGCAGAGCACATTCGGTCCTGAAGGCTTGAACGAACTGGTAAGTTTGAAAAGGGGGTGTGTGATAATTTTTCATTTAATTGTCAGATCATAAGCTTGATTTTAAAATGTTTTTCTAAATAGAAAAAAAATTTTTGTTATCCAAAATTAGTAAATGTAAAAATAACTCAGAATAGGATCCGATTATTAGATCAATCTATATATACATATCTTTAAATTTACTGTAGCATCCTGGTTGATTTATGGTCTGACTTTCCAACTGATGTTTCACAAAGTTTTATTTTTAAAATGGTTCCTTTAAACTTCCATCTTTGAACTTCCATTAAAGAGTGTGAACACACCGCAAGAGCTAGCGAAAAAACAATAGGAACAATATTAATACACTTTCTGTCACAGAAAATCGTTTGATTAAAATTATATATTTTATACACCTTCAAGAACAATGAAATCAACTTTCTTGTGTTAACTGTGTCATCTGTGTTAACTGTAACCATCATCGTAACTGTAGCATCTTTACTAGTACTCAGCAACACGAAACTCGATCAAATTTCATAAAAACTCTTAAAAAGGCACTTCATATTAATTTGTGTGAGAAAAGAAGCATATGTTGTGCCTCTATCAACCAGGTACTTTACAACTTAAGAGATCCTTATTGACGATTGTGATCCTGACTTTTCATATCTTTTACTGTTCATTGACTTCTAACTTCCGGTGAAAATTCTTTCAAAATAAGGGGATCGGTCTCTGTTATATTACTCACAGGAAATAAAATAATAGAAAATAGGGATTTTAACTTCAAAATAAGACTGCTGATACAAACACATAATGTGGGTCATTTACATTTAGAATAGCATGAAAAAGTTTAATACTTTTTGTCACTTATTTCAGAAAATGAAACCTAGTCCCTTTTCTCTTTTTTGCTTTCCATGACCCAGGTTCGCTCTACACTGCTCAGAATCAAGTCACACACCCTAAATTTAACCTTTAGTGTGAGTGTTTCAACTAACTGAATTCATTTGCATGAAAGGTCTAACATTGGTGATGTAGCTGGTTACTGAAAATCATATCATTAAAATCAGTGTAGATGATATTGGTAAAGATGAGTAAGTATCAAGGCAATAACGTTTAGTTTTTATCTCTGATGATCGTGCATTTTTTAAAGTTTATCCCTAATGTAACGGTGTGGCTAAAAAAAGCCACTTGGGGCAAGATTTAGACTTAAAAACAGGCAACTGGACTGTGTAGAGTTGAGAAGGCGTTTTGCCTCTTATCCAAGAAGCTTCTTCAGTTCTAAAATTGCTAGTGTGAGGAGCAGATATTTATCTTACTGGAGAAGGGAACAGACAACGACTGGGAGGAGTTGGAAAGAATGGGTCGTAGAAACCCATATCTGGGTGTCTCTCTTTCCAACCTTGCTTACCAACCTTGCTTACCTAACCTTTCAGGTTTGGTAAGCACACACACACATGTTCACACACACACACACACACACACACACACACACACACACACACACACACACACACACACACACACACCACCTTCTTCTTTTGTTGATGTATTTTGAGCAATAAAATATGGTTGTGTTCCAATCTTATATTGTTTGTTACACACACACTCACACATGCACGCACACACATGCATGCACGTGCACACAAATGCACGCACGTGCACACAAACACACACTGAATTCTGTCTCACACATGACTACCACCTGCAGTCAGTGAAAGAGAATGCTCTGATGTTAGTATAGGGAATGCACTTATAAAACCACTTAATCAATGCAGTTTTTATGAAAATCTGTTACACAAAAATGTACCAAACATTCTGATGTTTCTAATCCTCCACATGCCCAAGCCTATGCACCTTGTAAAAAATCACCAGCTTCGGATTATGTTTTATTAAAAAAATAGGTCATTTTCCTTCCTTTTTTTTTTTTTGCTTTATAAGTGACTTTAGATCTCAAATGGGCCCTTAAAGGGTTAAAATTTTTATTTTCAATGAAACGTTTGCTAGTTTTGAACAGGGCAGAAGTAAAATAGCAGATGTATGAAAAAAATCTGAAAAAAATATTAATCCAATATATTTTACAACAGACAAAGTAGTTTTGGCCACTGAGGGGCGCCAAAGGGAGTTTTTTATTAAACCTGATGCTACAGAAAAACTGAAAAGGGAATAAATTCAATGATATTACTAATCTTTGACATATTCAAGACTTTGATTACCTGCGGGAGATCACCAGTTTCTGATGATGTTTTTTGATGTTTATGTCTGATTAAATATTGGCCACTGAGAGGCACTAAAGGGACAGAATTTGTCCTGGCTTTAGTATTGACCCGGTGAAAATTTTGAATTCATGTTTTCAAAGAGTATGTCAAATTGAGCATAAAAAAAAACTCACCAATACAAACTACGATCATAACAACAAGCCAACACATCAAAAGAACACTTAAACAACAGCTAAACACAGGGGGTAACAAACTCAACAGATGCATGCCAAAACACATGCTCAAAAACCTTCAAACTCGCCAAAACAAACAATGATCATAACAAGAAGCCAAAATCTTTAAAAGAACACTACAACAACAACTAAACACAAGGGATTACTAATTCAACACATACATGCCATAACTCATGCTCAAAAACCTTCAAACTCTCTAAAATAAACAATGTGCATAACAACAAGCCAAAGTCATCAAAATAACACTAAAACAACAGCTTAACGCATTCATGCGTTAAGCTGCTCAAAAACCTTCAAATTTGCCAAAACGAACAATGTTCATAACAACAAGCCAAACTCATCAAAAGAACACTAAAAAAACTGCTTAACGCATTCACATGCTCAAAAACCTTCAAATTCGCCAAAACGAACAATGTTCATAACAACAAGCCAGACTCATCAAAAAAACACTAAAACAGCAGCTTAACACAAGGGTTAACAAATTCAACACATTCATGCCATTACACTTGCTCAAAAACCTTTAAACTCGCCACGACAAACAATGTTCATAACAACAAGCCAAACTCTTTCAAAGAACACTTAAAATACATCTTCACACAAGGGATTACTAATTCAACACACTCATGCCATTACACATGCTCAAAAACCTTCAAACTCACTAAAAAGAACATAGTTCATAACAAAAAGCAAAACTCATCAAAGAACACAAAAACAAAAGCTTAACACATTCATGCCATTACATATGCTCAAAAACCTTCAAACTCGCCAAAATAAACAATGCTCATAACAACAAGCCAAACTCATCAAAAGAACACTTAAACAACAGCTTAACGCATTCATGCCATTAGACATGCTCAAAAACCTTCAAACTTGCCAAAGCAAACAATGCTCATAACAACAAGCCAAACTCATCAAAACAACACTAAAACAACAGCTTAACACAAGGGATTACTAATTCAACACATTCATGCCATTACACATGCTCAAAAACCTTCAAACTGGCCAAAACGAACAATGTTCATAACAACAAGCCAAACTCATCAAAAGAACACTAAAACAACAGCTTAACGCATTCATGCCATTACACATGCTCAAAAACGTTCAAACTCGCCAAAACAAACACTTTTCATAACAACAAGCCAAACTCATCAAAAGAACACTAAAACAACAGCTTAACGCATTCATGCCATTACACATGCTCAAAAACCTTCAAACTCGCCAAAACAAACACTTTTCATAACAACAAGCCAAACTCATCAAAAGAACACTAAAACAACAGCTTAACGCATTCATGCCATTACACATGCTCAAAAACCGTTCAAACTCGCCAAAACAAACACTTTTCATAACAACAAGCCAAACTCATCAAAAGAACACTAAAACAACAGCTTAACGCATTCATGCCATTACACATGCTCAAAAACGTTCAAACTCGCCAAAACAAACACTTTTCATAACAACAAGCCAAACTCATCAAAAGAACACTAAAACAACAGCTTAACGCATTCATGCCATTACACATGCTCAAAAACGTTCAAACTCGCCAAAACAAACACTTTTCATAACAACAAGCCAAACTCATCAAAAGAACACTAAAACAACAGCTTAACGCATTCATGCCATTACACATGCTCAAAAACGTTCAAACTCGCCAAAACAAACACTTTTCATAACAACAAGCCAAACTCATCAAAAGAACACTAAAACAACAGCTTAACGCATTCATGCCATTACACATGCTCAAAAACGTTCAAACTCGCCAAAACAAACACTTTTCATAACAACAAGCCAAACTCATCAAAAGAACACTAAAACAACAGCTTAACGCATTCATGCCATTACACATGCTCAAAAACGTTCAAACTCGCCAAAACAAACACTTTTCATAACAACAAGCCAAACTCATCAAAAGAACACTAAAACAACAGCTTAACGGATTCATGCCATTACACATGCTCAAAAACGTCAAAACTCGCCAAAACAAACACTTTTCATAACAACAAGCCAAACTCATCAAAAGAACACTAAAACAACAGCTTAACGCATTCATGCCATTACACATGCTCAAAAACGTTCAAACTCGCCAAAACAAACACTTTTCATAACAACAAGCCAAACTCATCAAAAGAAAACTAAAACAACGGCATAACACAAGGGATTACTAATTCAACACATTCATGCCATTACACATGCTCAAAAACCTTCAAACTGGCCAAAACGAACAATGTTCATAACAACAAGCCAAACTCATCAAAAGAACACTAAAACAACAGCTTAACGCATTCATGCCATTACACATGCTCAGAAACGTTCAAACTTGCCAAAACAAACACTTTTCATAATAACAAGCCAAACTCATCAAAAGAACACTAAAACAACAACTTAACGGATTCATGCCATTACACATGCACAAAAACGTTCGAACTTGCCAAAACAAACACTTTTCATAACAACAAGCCAAACTCATCAAAAGAACACTAAAACAACAGCTTAACGCATTCATGCCATTACACATGCTCAAAAACGTTCAAACTCGCCAAAACAAACACTTTTCATAACAACAAGCCAAACTCATCAAAAGAACACTAAAACAACAGCTTAACGCATTCATGCCATTACACATGCTCAAAAACGTTCAAACTCGCCAAAACAAACACTTTTCATAACAACAAGCCAAACTCATCAAAAGAACACTAAAACAACAGCTTAACGCATTCATGCCATTACACATGCTCAAAAACGTCAAAACTCGCCAAAACAAACACTTTTCATAACAACAAGCCAAACTCATCAAAAGAACACTAAAACAACGGCTTAACAACAAGGGATTACTAATTCAACACATTCATGCCATTACACATGCTCAAAAACGTTCAAACTCGCCAAAACAAACACTTTTCATAACAACAAGCCAAACTCATCAAAAGAACACTAAAACAACAGCTTAACGCATTCATGCCATTACACATGCTCAAAAACGTTCAAACTCGCCAAAACAAACACTTTTCATAACAACAAGCCAAACTCATCAAAAGAACACTAAAACAACGGCTTAACACAAGGGATTACTAATTCAACACATTCATGCCATTACACATGCTCAAAAACGTTCAAACTCGCCAAAACAAACACTTTTCATAACAACAAGCCAAACTCATCAAAAGAACACTAAAACAACAGCTTAACGCATTCATGCCATTACACATGCTCAAAAATCGTTCAAACTCGCCAAAACAAACACTTTTCATAACAACAAGCCAAACTCATCAAAAGAACACTAAAACAACAGCTTAACACAAGGGATTACTAATTCAACACATTCATGCCATTACACATGCTCAAAAACCTTCAAACTCGCCAAAACAAACAATGTTCATAACAACAAGCCAAACTCATCAAAAGAACACTAAAACAACAGCTTAACGCATTCATGCCATTACACATGCTCAAAAACTTCAAACTCGCCAAAACAAACACTTTTCATAACAACAAGCCAAACTCATCAAAAGAACACTAAAACAACGGCTTAACACAAGGGATTACTAATTCAACACATTCATGCCATTACACATGCTCAAAAACCTTCAAACTCGCCAAAACAAACAATGTTCATAACAACAAGCCAAACTCATCAAAAGAACACTAAAACAACAGCTTAACGCATTCATGCCATTACACATGCTCAAAAACGTTCAAACTCGCCAAAACAAACACTTTTCATAACAACAAGCCAAACTCATCAAAAGAACACTAAAACAACGGCTTAACACAAGGGATTACTAATTCAACACATTCATGCCATTACACATGCTCAAAAACCTTCAAACTGGCCAAAACGAACAATGTTCATAACAACAAGCCAAACTCATCAAAAGAACACTAAAACAACAGCTTAACGCATTCATGCCATTACACATGCTCAAAAACGTTCAAACTCGCCAAAACAAACACTTTTCATAACAACAAGCCAAACTCATCAAAAGAACACTAAAACAACAGCTTAACACAAGGGATTACTAATTCAACACATTCATGCCATTACACATGCTCAAAAACCTTCAAACTGGCCAAAACGAACAATGTTCATAACAACAAGCCAAACTCATCAAAAGAACACTATAGCAACAGCTTAACGCATTCATGCCATTACACATGCTCAAAAACGTTCAAACTCGCCAAAACAAACACTTTTCATAACAACAAGCCAAACTCATCAAAAGAACACTAAAACAACAGCTTAACGCATTCATGCCATTACACATGCTAAAAAACCTTCAAACTGGCCAAAACGAACAATGTTCATAACAACAAGCCAAACTCATCAAAAGAACACTAAAACAACGGCTTAACACAAGGGATTACTAATTCAACACATTCATGCCATTACACATGCTCAAAAACGTTCAAACTCGCCAAAACAAACACTTTTCATAACAACAAGCCAAACTCATCAAAAGAACACTAAAACAACAGCTTAACGCATTCATGCCATTACACATGCTCAAAAACGTTCAAACTCGCCAAAACAAACACTTTTCATAACAACAAGCCAAACTCATCAAAAGAACACTAAAACAACAGCTTAACGCATTCATGCCATTACACATGCTCAAAAACGTTCAAACTCGCCAAAACAAACACTTTTCATAACAACAAGCCAAACTCATCAAAAGAACACTAAAACAACGGCTTAACACAAGGGATTACTAATTCAACACATTCATGCCATTACACATGCTCAAAAACCTTCAAACTGGCCAAAACAAACACTTTTCATAACAACAAGCCAAACTCATCAAAAGAACACTAAAACAACAGCTTAACGCATTCATGCCATTACACATGCTCAAAAACGTTCAAACTCGCCAAAACAAACACTTTTCATAACAACAAGCCAAACTCATCAAAAGAACACTAAAACAACAGCTTAACGCATTCATGCCATTACACATGCTAAAAAACGTTCAAACTCGCCAAAACAAACACTTTTCATAACAACAAGCCAAACTCATCAAAAGAACACTAAAACAACAGCTTAACGCATTCATGCCATTACACATGCTCAAAAACGTTCAAACTCGCCAAAACAAACACTTTTCATAACAACAAGCCAAACTCATCAAAAGAACACTAAAACAACAGCTTAACGCATTCATGCCATTACACATGCTCAAAAACCTTCAAACTGGCCAAAACGAACAAATGTTCATAACAACAAGCCAAACTCATCAAAAGAACACTAAAACAACAGCTTAACGCATTCATGCCATTACACATGCTAAAAAACGTTCAAACTCGCCAAAACAAACAATGTTCATAACAACAAGCCAAACTCATCAAAAGAACACTAAAACAACAGCTTAACGCATTCATGCCATTACACATGCTCAAAAACGTTCAAACTTGCCAAAACAAACACTTTTCATAACAACAAGCCAAACTCATCAAAAGAACACTAAAACAACAGCTTAACGCATTCATGCCATTACACATGCTCAAAAACGTTCAAACTCGCCAAAACAAACACTTTTCATAACAACAAGCCAAACTCATCAAAAGAACACTAAAACAACAGCTTAACGCATTCATGCCATTACACATGCTCAAAAACGTTCAAACTCGCCAAAACAAACACTTTTCATAACAACAAGCCAAACTCATCAAAAGAACACTAAAACAACAGCTTAACGCATTCATGCCATTACACATGCTCAAAAACGTTCAAACTCGCCAAAACAAACACTTTTCATAACAACAAGCCAAACTCATCAAAAGAACACTAAAACAACGGCTTAACACAAGGGATTACTAATTCAACACATTCATGCCATTACACATGCTAAAAAACCTTCAAACTGGCCAAAACAAACACTTTTCATAACAACAAGCCAAACTCATCAAAAGAACACTAAAACAACAGCTTAACGCATTCATGCCATTACATACCATTACACATGCTAAAAAACCTTCAAACTGGCCAAAACGAACAATGTTCATAACAACAAGCCAAACTCATCAAAAGAACACTAAAACAACAGCTTAACGCATTCATGCCATTACACATGCTCAAAAACGTTCAAACTCGCCAAAACAAACACTTTTCATAACAACAAGCCAAACTCATCAAAAGAACACTAAAACAACAGCTTAACACAAGGGATTACTAATTCAACACATTCATGCCATTACACATGCTCAAAAACGTTCAAACTCGCCAAAACAAACACTTTTCATAACAACAAGCCAAACTCATCAAAAGAACACTAAAACAACAGCTTAACGCATTCATGCCATTACACATGCTCAAAAACCTTCAAACTCGCCAAAACAAACACTTTTCATAACAACAAGCCAAACTCATCAAAAGAACACTAAAACAACAGCTTAACACAAGGGATTACTAATTCAACACATTCATGCCATTACACATGCTCAAAAACGTTCAAACTGGCCAAAACGAACAATGTTCATAACAACAAGCCAAACTCATCAAAAGAACACTAAAACAACAGCTTAACGCATTCATGCCATTACACATGCTCAAAAACGTTCAAACTCGCCAAAACAAACACTTTTCATAACAACAAGCCAAACTCATCAAAAGAACACTAAAACAACAGCTTAACACAAGGGATTACTAATTCAACACATTCATGCCATTACACATGCTCAAAAACCTTCAAACTCGCCAAAACAAACACTTTTCATAACAACAAGCCAAACTCATCAAAAGAACACTAAAACAACAGCTTAACACAAGGGATTACTAATTCAAAACATTCATGCCATTACACATGCTCAAAAACGTTCAAACTCGCCAAAACAAACACTTTTCATAACAACAAGCCAAACTCATCAAAAGAACACTAAAACAACAGCTTAACACAAGGGATTACAAATTCAACACATTCATGCCATTACACATGCTCAAAAACGTTCAAACTGGCCAAAACGAACAATGTTCATAACAACAAGCCAAACTCATCAAAAGAACACTAAAACAACGGCTTAACACAAGGGATTACTAATTCAACAAATTCATGCCATTACACATGCTAAAAAACGTTCAAACTCGCCATAACAAACAATGTTCAAAACAACAAGCCAAACTCATCAAAAGAACACTAAAACAACAGCTTAACGCATTCATGCCATTACACATGCTCAAAAACGTTCAAACTCGCCAAAACAAACACTTTTCATAACAACAAGCCAAACTCATCAAAAGAACACTAAAACAACAGCTTAACACAAGGGATTACTAATTCAAAACATTCATGCCATTACACATGCTCAAAAACGTTCAAACTCGACAAAACAAACACTTTTCATAACAACAAGCCAAACTCATCAAAAGAACACTAAAACACAGCTTAACACAAGGGATTACTAATTCAACACATTCATGCCATTACACATGCTCAAAAACGTTCAAACTGGCCAAAACGAACAATGTTCATAACAACAAGCCAAACTCATCAAAAGAACACTAAAACAACAGCTTAACGCATTCATGCCATTACACATGCTCAAAAACGTTCAAACTCGCCAAAACAAACACTTTTCATAACAACAAGCCAAACTCATCAAAAGAACACTAAAACAACAGCTTAACGCATTCATGCCATTACACATGCTCAAAAACGTTCAAACTCGCCAAAACAAACACTTTTCATAACAACAAGCCAAACTCATCAAAAGAACACTAAAACAACAGCTTAACGCATTCATGCCATTACACATGCTCAAAAACGTTCAAACTCGCCAAAACAAACACTTTTCATAACAACAAGCCAAACTCATCAAAAGAACACTAAAACAACAGCTTAACACAAGGGATTACTAATTCAACACATTCATGCCATTACACATGCTAAAAAACCTTCAAACTGGCCAAAACGAACAATGTTCAAAACAACAAGCCAAACTCATCAAAAGAACACTAAAACAACAGCTTAACGCATTCATGCCATTACACATGCTCAAAAACGTTCAAACTCGCCAAAACAAACACTTTTCATAACAACAAGCCAAACTCATCAAAAGAACACTAAAACAACAGCTTAACGCATTCATGCCATTACACATGCTCAGAAACGTTCAAACTTGCCAAAACAAACACTTTTCATAACAACAAGCCAAACTCATCAAAAGAACACTAAAACAACAGCTTAACGGATTCATGCCAGTACACATGCTCAAAAACGTCAAAACTCGCCAAAACAAACACTTTTCATAACAAGAAGCCAAACTCATCAAAAGAACACTAAAACAACAGCTTAACGCATTCATGCCATTACACATGCTCAAAAACGTTCAAACTCGCCCAAACAAACACTTTTCATAACAACAAGCCAAACTCATCAAAAGAACACTAAAACAACGGCTTAACACAAGGGATTACTAATTCAACACATTCATGCCATTACACATGCTCAAAAACGTTCAAACTCGCCAAAACAAACACTTTTCATAACAACAAGCCAAACTCATCAAAACAACACTAAAACAACAGCTTAACGCATTCATGCCATTACACATGCTCAAAAACGTTCAAACACGCCAAAACAAACACTTTTCATAACAACAAGCCAAACTCATCAAAAGAACACTAAAACAACAGCTTAACACAAGGGATTACTAATTCAAAACATTCATACCATTACACATGCTAAAAAACCTTCAAACTGGCCAAAACGAACAATGTTCATAACAACAAGCCAAACTCATCAAAAGAACACTAAAACAACAGCTTAACGTATTCATGCCATTACACATGCTCAAAAACGGTCAAACTCGCCAAAACAAACACTTTTCATAACAACAAGCCAAAATCATCAAAAGAACACTAAAACAACGGCTTAACACAAGGGATTACTAATTCAACACATTCATGCCATTACACATGCTAAAATACCTTCAAACTCGCCAAAACAAACACTTTTCATAACAACAAGCCAAACTCATCAAAAGAACACTAAAACAACAGCTTAACGCATTCATGCCATTACACATGCTCAAAAATGTTCAAACTCGCCAAAACCCACACTTTTCATAACAACAAGCCAAACTCATCAAAAGAACACTAAAACAACGGCTTAACACAAGGGATTACTAATAGAACACATTCATGCCATTACACATGCTCAAAAACCTTCAAACTGGCCAAAACGAACAATGTTCATAACAAAAAGCCAAACTCATCAAAAGAACACTAAAACAACAGCTTAACGCATTCATGCCATTACACATGCTCAAAAACGTTCAAACTCGCCAAAACAAACACTTTTCATAACAACAAGCCAAACTCATCAAAAGAACACTAAAACAACAGCTTAACACAAGGGATTACTAATTCAACACATTCATGCCATTACACATGCTCAAAAACGTTCAAACTCGCCAAAACAAACACTTTTCATAACAACAAGCCAAACTCATCAAAAGAACACTAAAACAACAGCTTAACGCATTCATGCCATTACACATGCTCAAAAACGTTCAAACTCGCCAAAACAAACACTTTTCATAACAACAAGCCAAACTCATCAAAAGAACACTAAAACAACAGCTTAACGCATTCATGCCATTACACATGCTCAAAAACGTTCAAACTGGCCAAAACAAACACTTTTCATAACAACAAGCCAAACTCATCAAAAGAACACTAAAACAACAGCTTAACACAAGGGATTACTAATTCAACACATTCATGCCATTACACATGCTAAAAAACGTTAAAACTCGCCAAAACGAACAATGTTCATAACAACAAGCCAAACTCATCAAAAGAACACTAAAACAACAGCTTAACGCATTCATGCCATTACACATGCTCAAAAACGTTCAAACTCGCCAAAACAAACACTTTTCATAACAACAAGCCAAACTCATCAAAAGAACACTAAAACAACAGCTTAACACAAGGGATTACTAATTCAACACATTCATGCCATTACACATGCTCAAAAACGTTCAAACTCGACAAAACAAACACTTTTCATAACAACAAGCCAAACTCATCAAAAGAACACTAAAACAACGGCTTAACACAAGGGATTACTAATTCAACACATTCATGCAATTACACATGCTCAAAAACGTTCAAACTCGCCAAAACAAACACTTTTCATAACAACAAGCCAAACTCATCAAAAGAACACTAAAACAACAGCTTAACGCATTCATGCCATTACACATGCTCAAAAACGTTCAAACTCGCCAAAACAAACACTTTTCATAACAACAAGCCAAACTCATCAAAAGAACACTAAAACAACAGCTTAACGCATTCATGCCATTACACATGCTCAAAAACGTTCAAACTCGCCAAAACAAACACTTTTCATAACAACAAGCCAAACTCATCAAAAGAACACTAAAACAACAGCTTAACGCATTCATGCCATTACACATGCTCAAAAACGTTCAAACTCGCCAAAACAAACACTTTTCATAACAACAAGCCAAACTCATCAAAAGAAAACTAAAACAACGGCTTAACACAAGGGATTACTAATTCAACACATTCATGCAATTACACATGCTCAAAAACGTTCAAACTCGCCAAAACAAACACTTTTCATAACAACAAGCCAAACTCATCAAAAGAACACTAAAACAACAGCTTAACGCATTCATGCCATTACACATGCTCAAAAACGTTCAAACTCGCCAAAACAAACACTTTTCATAACAACAAGCCAAACTCATCAAAAGAACACTAAAACAACAGCTTAACGCATTCATGCCATTACACATGCTCAGAAACGTTCAAACTTGCCAAAACAAACACTTTTCATAACAACAAGCCAAACTCATCAAAAGAACACTAAAACAACAGCTTAACGGATTCATGCCAGTACACATGCTCAAAAACGTCAAAACTCGCCAAAACAAACACTTTTCATAACAACAAGCCAAACTCATCAAAAGAACACTAAAACAACAGCTTAACGCATTCATGCCATTACATATGCTCAAAAACGTTCAAACTCGCCAAAACAAACACTTTTCATAACAACAAGCCAAACTCATCAAAAGAACACTAAAACAACAGCTTAACACAAGGGATTACTAATTCAACACATTCATGCCATTACACATGCTCAAAAACGTTCAAACTCGCCAAAACAAACACATGTTCATAAAAACAAGCCAAACTCATCAAAAGAACACTAAAACAACAGCTTAACGCATTCATGCCATTACACATGCTCAAAAACGTTCAAACTCGCCAAAACAAACACTTTTCATAACAACAAGCCAAACTCATCAAAAGAACACTAAAACAACAGCTTAACGCATTCATGCCATTACACATGCTCAAAAACGTTCAAACTCGCCAAAACAAACACTTTTCATAACAACAAGCCAAACTCATCAAAAGAACACTAAAACAACAGCTTAACACAAGGGATTACTAATTCAAAACATTCATGCCATTACACATGCTCAAAAACGTTCAAACTCGACAAAACAAACACTTTTCATAACAACAAGCCAAACTCATCAAAAGAACACTAAAACAACGGCTTAACACAAGGGATTACTAATTCAAAACATTCATTCGTAACATTACCCATGCTCAAAAACCTTCAAACTCGCCAAAACAAACACTTTTCATAACAACAAGCCAAACTCATCAAAAGAACACTAAAACAACAGCTTAACGCATTCATCGCCATGACACATGCTCAAAAACGTTCAAACTCGCCAAAACAAACACTTTTCATGACAACAAGCCAAACTCATCAAAAGAACACTAAAACAACAGCTTAACGTATTCATGCCATTACACATGCTCAAAAACGTTCAAACTCGCCAAAACAAACACTTTTCATAACAACAAGCCAAACTCATCAAAAGAACACTAAAACAACGGCTTAACACAAGGGATTACTAATTCAACACATTTATGCCATTACACATGCTAAAATACCTTCAAACTCGCCAAAACAAACACTTTTCATAACAACAAGCCAAACTCATCAAAAGAACACTAAAACAACAGCTTGACGCATTCATGCCATTACACATGCTCAAAAACGTTCAAACTCGCCAAAACAAACACTTTTCATAACAACAAGCCAAACTCATCAAAAGAACACTAAAACAACAGCTTAACGCATTCATGCCATTACACATGCTCAAAAACGTTCAAACTCGCCAAAACAAACACTGTTCATAACAACAAGCCAAACTCATCAAAAGAACACTAAAACAACAGCTTAACGCATTCATGCCATTACACATGCTCAAAAACGTTCAAACTCGCCAAAACAAACACTTTTCATAACAACAAGCCAAACTCATCAAAAGAACACTAAAACAACAGCTTAACGCATTCATGCCATTACACATGCTCAAAAACGTTCAAACTCGACAAAACAAACACTTTTAATAACAACAAGCTAAACTCATCAAAAGAACACTAAAACAACAGCTTAACGCATTCATGCCATTACACATGATCAAAAACGTTCAAACTCGCCAAAACAAACACTTTTCATGACAACAAGCCAAACTCATCAAAAGAACACCTAAACATCAGCTTAACGCATTCATGCCATTACACATGCTCAAAAACGTTCAAACTCGCCAAAACAAACACTTTTCATAACAACAAGCCAAACTCATCAAAAGAACACTAAAACAACGGCTTAACACAAGGGATTACTAATTCAACACATTCATGCCATTACACATGCTCAAAAACGTTCAAACTGGCCAAAACAAACAATGTTCATAACAACAAGCCAAACTCATCAAAAGAACACTAAAACAACAGCTTAACGCATTCATGCCATTACACATGCTCAAAAACGTTCAAACTCGCCAAAACAAACACTTTTCATAACAACAAGCCAAACTCATCAAAAGAACACTAAAACAACAGCTTAACACAAGGGATTACTAATTCAACACATTCATGCCATTACACATGCTCAAAAACGTTCAAACTGGCCAAAACGAACAATGTTCATAACAACAAGCCAAACTCATCAAAAGAACACTAAAACAACAGCTTAACGCATTCATGCCATTACACATGCTCAAAAACGTTCAAACTCGCCAAAACAAACACTTTTCATAACAACAAGCCAAACTCATCAAAAGAACACTAAAACAACGGCTTAACACAAGGGATTACTAATTCAACACATTCATGCCATTACACATGCTAAAAACCTTCAAACTGGCTAAAACGAACAATGTTCATAACAACAAGCCAAACTCATCATAAGAACACTAAAACAACAGCTTAACGAATTCGTGCCATTACACATGCTCAAAAACGTTCAAACTCGCCAAAACGAACAATGTTCATAACAACAAGCCAAACTCATCAAAAGAACACTAAAACAACAGCTTAACGCATTCATGCCATTACACATGCTCAAAAACGTTCAAACTGGCCAAAACAAACACTTTTCATAACAACAAGCCAAACTCATCAAAAGAACACTAAAACAACAGCTTAACGCATTCATGCCATTACACATGCTCAAAAACGTTCAAACTCGCCAAAACAAACACTTTTCATAACAACAAGCCAAACTCATCAAAAGAACACTAAAACAACGGCTTAACACAAGGGATTACTAATTCAACACATTCATGCCATTACACATGCTCAAAAACGTTCAAACTCGCCAAAACAAACACTTTTCATAACAACAAGCCAAACTCATCAAAAGAACACTAAAACAACAGCTTAACGCATTCATGCCATTACACATGCTCAAAAACGTTCAAACTCGCCAAAACAAACACTTTTCATAACAACAAGCCAAACTCATCAAAAGAACACTAAAACAACAGCTTAACGTATTCTCGCCATTACACATGCTCAAAAACGTTCAAACTCGCCAAAACAAACACTTTTCATAACAACAAGCCAAACTCATCAAAACAACACTAAAACAACAGCTTAATGCATTCATGCCATTACATATGCTCAAAAACGTTCAAACTCGCCAAAACAAACACTTTTCATAACAACAAGCCAAACTCATCAAAAGAACACTAAAACAACAGCTTAACACAAGGGATTACTTATTCAACACATTCATGCCATTACACATGCTAAAAAAATTTCAAACTGGCGAAAACGAACAATGTTCATAACAACAAGCCAAACTCATCAAAAGAACACTAAAACAACAGCTTAACGCATTCATGCCATTACACATGCTCTAAAACGTTCAAACTCGCCCAGACAAACACTTTTCATAACAACAAGCCAAACTCATCAAAAGAACACTAAAACAACGGCTTAACACAAGGGATTACTAATTCAACACATTCATGCCATTACACATGCTCAAAAACGTTCAAACTCGCCAAAACAAACACTTTTCATAACAACAAGCCAAACTCATCAAAAGAACACTAAAACAACAGCTTAACGCATTCATGCCATTACACATGCTCAAAAACGTTCAAACTCGCCCAAACAAACACTTTTCATAACAACAAGCCAAACTCATCAAAAGAACACTAAAACAACAGCTTAACGCATTCATGCCATTACACATGCTAAAAACCGTTCAAACTGGCCAAAACGAACAATGTTCATAACAACAAGCCAAACTCATCAAAAGAACACTAAAACAACAGCTTAACGCATTCTTGCCATTACACATGCTCAAAAACGTTCAAACTCGCCAAAACAAACACTTTTCATAACAACAAGCCAAACTCATCAAAAGAACACTAAAACAACAGCTTAACACAAGGGATTACTAATTCAACACATTCATGCCATTACACATGCTCAAAAACGTTCAAACTCGCCAAAACAAACACTTTTCATAACAACAAGCCAAACTCATCAAAAGAACACTAAAACAACAGCTTAACGCATTCATGCCATTACACATGCTCAAAAACGTTCAAACTCGCCAAAACAAACACTTTTCATAACAACAAGCCAAACTCATCAAAAGAACACTAAAACTACAACTTAACACAAGGGATTACTAATTCAACACATTCTTGCCATTACACATGCTCAAAAACCTTCAAACTGGCCAAAACGAACAATGTTCATAACAACAAGCCAAACTCATCAAAAGAACACTAAAACAACAGCTTAACGCATTCATGCCATTACACATGCTCAAAAACGTTCAAACTCGCCAAAACAAACACTTTTCATAACAACAAGCCAAACTCATCAAAAGAACACTAAAACAACAGCTTAACACAAGGGATTACTAATTCAACACATTCATGCCATTACACATGCTCAAAAACGTTCAAACTCGCCAAAACAAACACTTTTCATAACAACAAGCCAAACTCATCAAAAGAACACTAAAACAACAGCTTAACGCATTCATGCCATTACACATGCTCAAAAACGTTCAAACTCGCCAAAACAAACACTTTTCATAACAACAAGCCAAACTCATCAAAAGAACACTAAAACAACAGCTTAACGCATTCATGCCATTACACATGCTAAAAAACGTTCAAACATGGCCAAAACGAACAATGTTCATAACAACAAGCCAAACTCATCAAAAGAACACTAAAACAACGGCTTAACACAAGGGATTACTAATTCAACAAATTCATGCCATTACACATGCTCAAAAACGTTCAAACTCGCCAAAACGAACAATGTTCATAACAACAAGCCAAAATCATCAAAAGAACACTAAAACAACAGCTTAACGCATTCATGCCATTACACATGCTCAAAAACGTTCAAACTCGCCAAAACAAACACTTTTCATAACAACAAGCCAAACTCATCAAAACAACACTAAAACAACAGCTTAACGCATTCATGCCATTACACATGCTCAAAAACGTTCAAACACGCCAAAACAAACACTTGTCATAACAACAAGCCAAACTCATCAAAAGAACACTAAAACAACAGCTTAACACAAGGGATTACTAATTCAAAACATTCATGCCATTAGACGTGCTTAAAAACCTTCAAACTGCCCAAAACGAACAATTTTCATAACAACAAGCCAAACTCATCAAAAGAACACTAAAACAACAGCTTAACGCATTCATGCCATTACACATGCTCTAAAACGTTCAAACTCGCCAAAACAAACACTTTTCATAACAACAAGCCAAACTCATCAAAAGAACACTAAAACAACGGCTTAACACAAGGGATTACTAATTCAACACATTCATACCATTACACATGCTAAAAAACCTTCAAACTGGCCAAAACGAACAATGTTCATAACAACAAGCCAAACTCATCAAAAGAACACTAAAACAACAGCTTAACGCATTTATGCCATTACACATGCTCAAAAACGGTCAAACCCGCCAAAACAAACACTTTTCATAACAACAAGCCAAACTCATCAAAAGAACACTAAAACAACGGCTTAACACAAGGGATTACTAATTCAACACATTCATGCCATTACACATGCTAAAATACCTTCAAACTCGCCAAAACAAACACTTTTCATAACAACAAGCCAAACTCATCAAAAGAACACTAAAACAACAGCTTAACGCATTCATGCCATTACACATGCTCAAAAACGTTCAAACTCGCCAAAACAAACACTTTTCATAACAACAAGCCAAACTCATCAAAAGAACACTAAAACAACGGCTTAACACAAGGGATTACTAATGAAACACATTCATGCCATTACACATGCTCAAAAACCTTCAAACTGGCCAAAACAAACACTTTTCATAACAACAAGCCAAACTCATCAAAAGAACACTAAAACAACAGCTTAACGCATTCATGCCATTACACATGCTCAAAAACGTTCAAACTCGCCAAAACAAACACTTTTCATAACAACAAGCCAAACTCATCAAAAGAACACTAAAACAACAGCTTAACACAAGGGATTACTAATTCAACACATTCATGCCATTACACATGCTAAAAAACCTTCAAACTGGCCAAAACTAACACTGTTCATAACAACAAGCCAAACTCATCAAAAGAACACTAAAACAACAGCTTAACGCATTCATGCCATTACACATGCTCAAAAACGTTCAAACTCGCCAAAACAAACACTTTTCATAACAACAAGCCAAACTCATCAAAAGAACACTAAAACAACGGCTTAACACAAGGGATTACTAATTCAACACATTCATGCCATTACACATGCTCAAAAACGTTCAAACTCGCCAAAACAAACACTTTTCATAACAACAAGCCAAACTCATCAAAAGAACACTAAAACAACAGCTTAACGCATTCATGCCATTACACATGCTCAAAAACGTTCAAACTCGCCAAAACAAACACTTTTCATAACAACAAGCCAAACTCATCAAAAGAACACTAAAACAACGGCTTAACACAAGGGATTACTAATTCAACACATTCATACCATTACACATGCTCAAAAACCTTCAAACTCGCCAAAACAAACACTTTTCATAACAACAAGCCAAACTCATCAAAAGAACACTAAAACAACAGCTTAACGCATTCATGCCATTACACATGCTCAAAAACGTTCAAACTCGCCAAAACAAACACTTTTCATAACAACAAGCCAAACTCATCAAAAGAACACTAAAACAACGGCTTAACACAAGGGATTACTAATTCAACACATTCATGCCATTACACATGCTAAAAACCTTCAAACTGGCTAAAACGAACAATGTTCATAACAACAAGCCAAACTCATCATAAGAACACTAAAACAACAGCTTAACGCATTCATGCCATTACACATGCTCAAAAACGTTCAAACTCGCCAAAACAAACAATGTTCATAACAACAAGCCAAACTCATCAAAAGAACACTAAAACAACAGCTTAACGCATTCATGCCATTACACATGCTCAAAAACGTTCAAACTCGCCAAAACAAACACTTTTCATAACAACAAGCCAAACTCATCAAAAGAACACTAAAACAACAGCTTAACACAAGGGATTACTAATTCAACACATTCATGCCATTACACATGCTCAAAAACGTTCAAACTCGCCAAAACGAACAATGTTCATAACAACAAGCCAAACTCATCAAAAGAACACTAAAACAACAGCTTAACGCATTCATGCCATTACACATGCTCAAAAACGTTCAAACTCGCCAAAACAAACACTTTTCATAACAACAAGTCAAACTCATCAAAAGAACACTAAAACAACAGCTTAACACAAGGGATTACTAATTCAAAACATTCATGCCATTACACATGCTCAAAAACGTTCAAACTCGACAAAACAAACACTTTTCAATAACAACAAGCCAAACTAATCAAAAGAACACTAAAACAACGTCTTAACACAAGGGATTACTAATTCAACACATTCATACCATTACACATGCTAAAATACCTTCGAACTCGCCAAAACAAACACTTTTCATAACAACAAGCCAAACTCATCAAAAGAACACTAAAACAACAGCTTAACGCATTCATGCCATTACACATGCTCAAAAATGTTCAAACTCGCCAAAACAAACACTTGTCATAACAACAGGCCAAACTCATCAAAAGAACACTAAAACAACAGCTTAACACATGGGATTACTAATTCAACACATTCATGCCATTACACATGCTAAATAACCTTCAAACTGGCCAAAACGAACAATGTTCATAACAACAAGCCAAACTCATCAAAAAGAACACTAAAACAACAGCTTAACGCATACATGCCATTTAACATGCTCAAAAACCTTCAAACTCGCCAAAACAAACACTTTTCATAACAACAAGCCAAACTCATCAAAAGAACACTAAAACAACAGCTTAACGCATACATGCCATTTAACATGCTCAAAAACCTTCAAACTCGCCAAAACAAACACTTTTCATAACAACAAGCCAAACTCATCAAAAGAACACTAAAACAACGGCTTAACACAAGGGATTACTAATTCAACACATTCATACCATTACACATGCTAAAAAACCTTCAAACTGGCCAAAACGAACAATGTTCATAACAACAAGCCAAACTCATCAAAAGAACACTAAAACAACAGCTTAACGCATTCATGCCATTACACATGATCAAAAACGTTCAAACTCGCCAAAACAAACACTTTTCATGACAACAAGCCAAACTCATCAAAAGAACACTTAAACATCAGCTTAACGGGATTACTATTCATGCCATTACACATGCTCAAAAACGTTCAAACTCGCCAAAACAAACACTTTTCATAACAACAAGCCAAACTCATCAAAAGAACACTAAAACAACGGCTTATCACAAGGGATTACTAATTAAACACATTCATGCCATTACACATGCTCAAAAACGTTCAAACTCGCCAAAACAAACACTTTTCATAACAACAAGCCAAACTCATCAAAAGAACACTAAAACAACAGCTTAACACAAGGGATTACTAATTCAAAACATTCATGCCATTACACGTGCTAAAAACCTTCAAACTGGCCAAAACGAACAATGTTCATAACAACAAGCCAAACTCATCAAAAGAACACTAAAACAACAGCTTAACGCATTCATGCCATTACACATGCTCAAAAACTTTCAAACTCGCCAAAACCAACACTTTTCATAACAACAAGCCAAACTCATCAAAAGAACACTAAAACAACGGCTTAACACAAGGGATTACTAATTAAACACATTCATGCCATTACACATGCTCAAAAACGTTCAAACTGCCAAAACAAACACTTTTCATAACAACAAGCCAAACTCATCAAAAGAACACTAAAACAACAGCTTAACACAAGGGATTACTAATTCAAAACATTCATGCCATTACACGTGCTAAAAAACCTTCAAACTGGCCAAAACAAACACTTTTCATAACAACAAGCCAAACTCATCAAAAGAACACTAAAACAACAGCTTAACACATTCATGCCATTACACATGCTCAAAAACGTTCAAACTCGCCAAAACCAACACTTTTCATAACAACAAGCCAAATTCATCAAAAGAACACTAAAACAACGGCTTAACACAAGGGATTACTAATTAAACACATTCATGCCATTACACATGCTCAAAAACGTTCAAACTCGCCAAAACAAACACTTTTCATAACAACAAGCCAAACTCATCAAAAGAACACTAAAACAACAGCTTAACGCATTCATGCCATTACACATGCTCAAAAACCTTCAAACTGGCCAAAACAAACAATGTTCATAACAACAAGCCAAACTCATCAAAAGAACACTAAAACAACAGCTTAACGCATTCATGCCATTACACATGCTCAAAAACGTTCAAACTCGCCAAAACAAACACTTTTCATAACAACAAGCCAAACTCATCAAAAGAACACTAAAACAACGGCTTAACACAAGGGATTACTAATTCAACACATTCATGCCATTACACATGCTCAAAAACGTTCAAACTCGCCAAAACAAACACTTTTCATAACAACAAGCCAAACTCATCAAAAGAACACTAAAACAACAGCTTAACGCATTCATGCCATTACACATGCTCAAAAACGTTCAAACTCGCCAAAACAAACACTTTTCATAACAACAAGCCAAACTCATCAAAAGAACACTAAAACAACAGCTTAACGCATTCATGCCATTACACATGCTCAAAAACGTTCAAACTCGCCAAAACCAACACTTTTCATAACAACAAGCCAAACTCATCAAAAGAACACTAAAACAACAGCTTAACATAAGGGATTACTAATTCATTCATGCCATTACACATGCTCAAAAACGTTCAAACTCGCCAAAACAAACACTTTTCATAACAACAAGCCAAACTCATCAAAAGAACACTAAAACAACAGCTTAACGCATTCATGCCATTACACATGCTCAAAAACGTTCAAACTCGCCAAAACAAACACTTTTCATAACAACAAGCCAAACTCATCAAAAGAACACTAAAACAACAGCTTAACGCATTCATGCCATTACACATGCTCAAAAACCTTCAAACTCGCCAAAACGAACACTTTTCATAACAACAAGCCAAACTCATCAAAAGAACACTAAAACAACAGCTTAACGCATTCATGCCATTACACATGCTCAAAAACGTTCAAACTCGCCAAAACAAACACTTTTCATAACAACAAGCCAAACTCATCAAAAGAACACTAAAACAACAGCTTAACACAAGCATTCATGCCATTACACATGCTCAAAAACGTTCAAACTCGCCAAAACAAACACTTTTCATAACAACAAGCCAAACTCATCAAAAGAACACTAAAACAACGGCTTAACACAACAGCTTACTAATTCAACATTCATGCCATTACACATGCTCTAAAACCTTCAAACTGGCCAAAACAAACACTGTTCATAACAACAAGCCAAACTCATCAAAAGAACACTAAAACAACAGCTTAACGCATTCATGCCATTACACATGCTCAAAAACGTTCAAACTCGCCAAAACAAACACTTTTCATAACAACAAGCCAAACTCATCAAAAGAACACTAAAACAACGGCTTAACACAAGCATTTCATGCCATTACACATGCTCAAAAACGTTCAAACTCGCCAAAACAAACACTTTTCATAACAACAAGCCAAACTCATCAAAAGAACACTAAAACAACAACAGCTTAACGCACATTCATGCCATTACACATGCTCAAAAACGTTCAAACTGGCCAAAACAAACACTTTTCATAACAACAAGCCAAACTCATCAAAAGAACACTAAAACAACAGCTTAACACAAGGGATTACTAATTCAACACATTCATGCCATTACACATGCTCAAAAACGTTCAAACTGGCCAAAACAAACACTTGTCATAACAACAAGCCAAACTCATCAAAAGAACACTAAAACAACAGCTTAACACAAGCATTCATGCCATTACACATGCTCAAAAACGTTCAAACTCGCCAAAACAAACACTTTTCATAACAACAAGCCAAACTCATCAAAAGAACACTAAAACAACAGCTTAACGCATTCATGCCATTACACATGCTCAAAAACGTTCAAACTCGCCAAAACAAACACTTTTCATAACAACAAGCCAAACTCATCAAAAGAACACTAAAACAACAGCTTCAACGCATTCATGCCATTACACATGCTAAAAAACCTTCAAACTCACAAAACAAACACTTTTCATAACAACAAGCCAAACTCATCAAAAGAACACTAAAACAACAGCTTAACGCATTCATGCCATTACACATGCTCAAAAACCGTTCAAACTCGCCAAAACAAACACTTTTCATAACAACAAGCCAAACTCATCAAAAGAACACTAAAACAACAGCTTAACGCATTCATGCCATTTACACATGCTCAAAAACCTTCAAACTCGCCAAAACAAACACTTTTCATAACAACAAGCCAAACTCATCAAAAGAACACTAAAACAACAGCTTAACGCATTCATGCCATTACACATGCTTAAAAACGTTCAAACTCGCCAAAACAAACACTTTTCATAACAACAAGCCAAACTCATCAAAAGAACACTAAAACAACAGCTTATCACAAGGGATTACTAATTCATGCCATTACATTACCCATGCTAAAAACGTTCAAACTCGCCAAAACGAACAATGTTCATAACAACAAGCCAAACTCATCAAAAGAACACTAAAACAACAGCTTAACGCATTCATGCCATTACACATGCTCAAAAACGTTCAAACTCGCCAAAACAAACACTTTTCATAACAACAAGCCAAACTCATCAAAAGAACACTAAAACAACAGCTTAACACAAGGGATTACTAATTCAACACATTCATGCCATTACACATGCTCAAAAACGTTCAAACTCGCCAAAACAAACACTTTTCATAACAACAAGCCAAACTCATCAAAAGAACACTAAAACAACAGCTTAACGCATTCATGCCATTACACATGCTCAAAAACGTTCAAACTCGCCAAAACAAACACTTTTCATAACAACAAGCCAAACTCATCAAAAGAACACTAAAACAACAGCTTAACGCATTCATGCCATTACACATGCTCAAAAACCTTCAAACTCGCCAAAACAAACAATTTTCATAACAACAAGCCAAACTCATCAAAAGAACACTAAAACAACAGCTTAACGCATTCATGCCATTACACATGCTCAAAAACGTTCAAACTCGCCAAAACAAACACTTTTCATAACAACAAGCCAAACTCATCAAAAGAACACTAAAACAACAGCTTAACACAGGGATTACTAATTCAACACATGCCATTACACATGCTAAAAAACCTTCAAACTGGCCAAAACGAACAATGTTCATAACAACAAGCCAAACTCATCAAAAGAACACTAAAACAACAGCTTAACGCATTCATGCCATTACACATGCTCAAAAACGTTCAAACTCGCCAAAACAAACACTTTTCATAACAACAAGCCAAAGTCATCAAAAGAACACTAAAACAACGGCTTAACACAAGGGATTACTAATTCAACACATTCATGCCATTACACATGCTAAAAACCTTCAAACTCGCCAAAACAAACACTTTCATAACAACAAGCCAAACTCATCAAAAGAACACTAAAACAACAGCTTAACGCATTCATGCCATTACACATGCTCAAAAACGTTCAAACTGGCAAAACAAACAAGCCAAAACTCATCAAAAGAACACTAAAACAACGGCTTAACACAAGGGATTACTAATTCAACACATTCATGCCATTACACATGCTCAAAAACCTTCAAACTGGCCAAAACGAACAATGTTCATAACAACAAGCCAAACTCATCAAAAGAACACTAAAACAACAGCTTAACGCATTCATGCCATTACACATGCTCAAAAACGTTCAAACTCGCCAAAACAAACACTTTTCATAACAACAAGCCAAACTCATCAAAAGAACACTAAAACAACAGCTTAACACAAGGGATTACTAATTCAACACATTCATGCCATTACACATGCTCAAAAACCTTCAAACTGGCCAAAACGAACAATGTTCATAACAACAAGCCAAACTCATCAAAAGAACACTAAAACAACAGCTTAACGCATTCATGCCATTACACATGCTCAAAAACGTTCAAACTCGCCAAAACAAACACTTTTCATAACAACAAGCCAAACTCATCAAAAGAACACTAAAACAACAGCTTAACACAAGGGATTACTAATTCAACACATTCATGCCATTACACATGCTCAAAAACGTTCAAACTGGCCAAAACGAACAATGTTCATAACAACAAGCCAAACTCATCAAAAGAACACTAAAACAACAGCTTAACGCATTCATGCCATTACACATGCTCAAAAACGTTCAAACTCGCCAAAACAAACACTTTTCATAACAACAAGCCAAACTCATCAAAAGAACACTAAAACAACGGCTTAACACAAGGGATTACTAATTCAACACATTCATGCCATTACACATGCTCAAAAACGTTCAAACTGGCCAAAACAAACAATGTTCATAACAACAAGCCAAACTCATCAAAAGAACACTAAAACAACAGCTTAACGGGATTACTAATTCAACACATTCATTCCATTACACATGCTAAAAAACATTCAAACTCGCCAAAACAAACACTTTTCATAACAACAAGCCAAACTCATCAAAAGAACACTAAAACAACGGCTTAACACAAGGGATTACTAATTCAACACATTCATGCCATTACACATGCTCAAAAACCTTCAAACTCGCCAAAACGAACAATGTTCATAACAACAAGCCAAACTCATCAAAAGAACACTAAAACAACAGCTTAACGCATTCATGCCATTACACATGCTCAAAAACGTTCAAACTCGCCAAAACAAACAATGTTCATAACAACAAGCCAAACTCATCAAAAGAACACTAAAACAACAGCTTAACGCATTCATGCCATTACACATGCTTAAAAACGATCAAACTCGCCAAAACAAACACTTTTCATAACAACAAGCCAAACTCATCAAAAGAACACTAAAACAACGGCTTAACACAAGGGATTACTAATTCAACACATTCATAACATTACACATGCTAAAAAACGTTCAAACTCGCCAAAACGAACAATGTTCATAACAACAAGCCAAACTCATCAAAAGAACACTAAAACAACAGCTTAACGCATTCATGCCATTACACATGCTCAAAAACGTTCAAACTCGCCAAAACAAACACTTTTCATAACAACAAGCCAAACTCATCAAAAGAACACTAAAACAAACAGCTTAATGCATTCATGCGATTAAATAAGCTCAAAAACGTTCAAACTCGCCAAAACAAACACTTTTCATAACAACAAGCCAAACTCATCAAAAGAACACTAAAACAACGGCTTAACACAATGGATTACTAATTCAACACATTCATACCATTACACATGCTAAAAACCTTCAAACTGGCCAAAACGAACAATGTTCATAACAACAAGCCAAACTCATCAAAAGAACACTAAAACAACAGCTTAACGCATTCATGCCATTACACATGCTCAAAAACGTTCAAACTCGCCAAAACAAACACTTTTCATAACAACAAGCCAAACTCATCAAAAGAACACTAAAACAACGGCTTAACACAAGGGATTACTAATTCAACACATTCATGCCATTACACATGCTCAAAAACCTTCAAACTGGCCAAAACGAACAATGTTCATAACAACAAGCCAAACTCATCAAAAGAACACTAAAACAACAGCTTAACGCATTCATGCCATTACACATGCTCAAAAACGTTCAAACTCGCCAAAACAAACACTTTTCATAACAACAAGCCAAACTCATCAAAAGAACACTAAAACAACAGCTTAACACAAGGGATTACTAATTCAACACATTCATGCCATTACACATGCTCAAAAACGTTCAAACTCGCCAAAACAAACACTTTTCATAACAACAAGCCAAACTCATCAAAAGAACACTAAAACAACAGCTTAACGCATTCATGCCATTACACATGCTCAAAAACGTTCAAACTCGCCAAAACAAACACTTTTCATAACAACAAGCCAAACTCATCAAAAGAACACTAAAACAACAGCTTAACGCATTCATGCCATTACACATGCTCAAAAACGTTCAAACTCGCCAAAACAAACACTTTTCATAACAACAAGCCAAACTCATCAAAAGAACACTAAAACAACAGCTTAACGCATTCATGCCATTACACATGCTCAAAAACGTTCAAACTGGCCAAAACAAACACTTTTCATAACAACAAGCCAAACTCATCAAAAGAACACTAAAACAACAGCTTAACACAAGGGATTACTAATTCAACACATTCATACCATTACACATGCTCAAAAACCTTCAAACTCGCCAAAACGAACACTTTTCATAACAACAAGCCAAACTCATCAAAAGAACACTAAAACAACAGCTTAACACATTCATGCCATTACACATGCTCAAAAATGTTCAAACTCGCCAAAAACCACACTTTTCATAACAACAAGCCAAACTCATCAAAAGAACACTAAAACAACAGCTTAACGCATTCATGCCATTACACATGCTCAAAAACCTTCAAACTCGCCAAAACAAACACTTTTCATAACAAAAAGCCAAACTCATCAAAAGAACACTAAAACAACAGCTTAACATTCATGCCATTACACATGCTCAAAAACGTTCAAACTCGCCAAAACAAACACTTTTCATAACAACAAGCCAAACTCATCAAAAGAACACTAAAACAACAGCTTAACGCATTCATGCCATTACACATGCTCAAAAACGTTCAAACTCGCCAAAACAAACACTTTTCATAACAACAAGCCAAACTCATCAAAAGAACACTAAAACAACAGCTTAACGCATTCATGCCATTACACATGCTCAAAAACCTTCAAACTCGCCAAAACAAACACTTTTCATAACAACAAGCCAAACTCATCAAAAGAACACTAAAACAACAGCTTAATGCATTCATGCCATTACACATGCTCAAAAACGTTCAAACTCGCCAAAACAAACACTTTTCATAACAACAAGCCAAACTCATCAAAAGAACACTAAAACAACAGCTTAACGCATTCATGCCATTACACATGCTCAAAAACGTTCAAACTCGCCAAAACAAACACTTTTCATAACAACAAGCCAAACTCATCAAAAGAACACTAAAACAACAGCTTTACACAAGGGATTACTAATTCAACACATTCATGCCATTACACATGCTTAAAAACCTTCAAACTGGCCAAAACGAACAATGTTCATAACAACAAGCCAAACTCATCAAAAGAACACTAAAACAACAGCTTAACGCATTCATGCCATTACACATGCTCAAAAACGTTCAAACTCGCCAAAACAAACACTTTTCATAACAACAAGCCAAACTCATCAAAAGAACACTAAAACAACGGCTTAACACAAGGGATTACTAATTCAACACATTCATGCCATTACACATGCTCAAAAACGTTCAAACTCGCCAAAACAAACAATTTTCATAACAACAAGCCAAACTCATCAAAAGAACACTAAAACAACAGCTTAACGCATTCATGCCATTACACATGCTCAAAAACGTTCAAACTGGCCAAAATAAACACTTTTCATAACAACAAGCCAAACTCATCAAAAGAACACTAAAACAACAGCTTAACACAAGGGATTACTAATTCAACACATTCATGCCATTACA